CAAGAAACCTGTACCACAGTCTTTTCTTCCCTGTGACGGGTCAGAGGACTCGGTGTGTTTCTGCTGCCAGCCCGGTTCCCTTCTGGAATTTCCCGGACAAGATGGAGCCGCGCGGCTTTTTTCTCCCGGCTGGAGAGGAATCGCAGGAGAGGCAGACGGGGGTCTGAGGAGAGCTGCCGAAGCTAACAGCCGAAACTGTAACATTGTAACTGCGCAGCACTCTGCGAGCAGAAGGACTCCCACGGAGAGAAAGCTGAGCCAGAGCTGAGCTGGGGAAAAGGCCAAACTGTGTGGCAGCGCTGGCTTTTAAACCGGCCGCRCTGCCTTTCCCAGCAGCCCACGCGGCTTCTTCCGGGTTRCATTTAAAGATACAGAACATCTTTTGGGCGTATATGCCAACAGAAAAGGAATACAGAACAAAATTGGCACAAAAATCAACCCAAGACAGGCCTTAAGCTCTGCACAAATGAGAAAAAAGAAATCAGGCACCAATTTTTTTTTCTCAATCTAACCCAATGAGAAAACACTGGCTGCATCTCTAAAATTTTATTTAGAATAAAAATAAAGAGCAAAGATACAAACCTGAGGACAACTCAGCATGTGGGAGAATTAAGTAGCAGTAGTGCTTAGCTAAAATATTTAAACCAAATACATCAACCTAGAATATTTAAACCAAAACTATATATTTGTTTTGAAGTAGCCAAGACTGAACTTGTTCAGTGTGACATTAACAGAAATGGAGATGGTTACCGTGAAAGGAGCTGAAACTGATTGTCCAAGATTAAATCCAAAGACAATTTCAATTTTTCTTAATACTGTTCATTTTGCTAATTCATACATTTGCTCTGGGACTAGCTCATTAGGCCTTAAAGTTCCTGTTACATGGAGAGATGGTTGAGATACTACATTTCATGTTACATATGGAAATTGACTCATCTTCAGTCTGAATAAATCAAGGTTAAAAGAGACTTGTTTTCTATATTTTATTATTATATCTTTGCTTTGTTAGGTATGATAATATTATTCCTGTCACTCTGGTAATATATAAATTCACAGAAATTATTTAGTGGATTCTGTTTGAAAGTCTAAAGGAGATGCCATTTTACCAGCCTTTTACATTATTTTGGCAGGTTTGGAAGTCTTGAGGAAAACATTATGAAAAGCTAAGCATTCTTTTACCCAGCTTTTCAAGCAAGAGCTCACGAATATCATGAAGTTATATGGTCTAGTAAGTTATCTAAATGGTAGCCAGAACATTAAGGGTCAACTCTTTATCCTCAGTGGGGAAAACAAGCAAGGGGTCAAATTCTTAGTTAATTTGTTAGGGATACTTATTTCCTTACATTGTCATAAAAGTCACCTTTTCAACTGGAGTAGTAATTTTGTTTAAACAATAGGAAATTGCCAGATACTTCATTATTACTGTTATGAATCCAATATGCTGTCTCCATGATAGTTTCATCAATGACAAGTTACTGTTGCCATCTGAATAAACACAACTTTGTATCTACAGAGGTTTAGGTAAGTGGAATATATTAATATATTACATCTGGAGACACTGCGGTGTCAGGCTGCATTTTATGGGGACACACCTGACTGTTCTTAAGTAAATACTGGCATTTTTTAATATAAAGCAAATGCACAGAACTAAAATATTGCTAGAAAGACTCTCCCTTTCTGTTCTTTCATGTTTAAGTCTCCAGATTTACACATTGTTTACATGGCATGCTAAGCATCCTTCGGTTAAATATATCAACAGGAGAGCTGTACAAAGACTCCTTTCCAAGTCTGAGATTCAGACTGGGGAATCTACCTTTCCTACAGGAGAGTCCGTCATTACATTCTGACAAGATAAAAGGAGATAAGGGAACTATTATATGAAATTAAATAAAATCAAAATACAGAACCTAAGTAACATGAATTTAAAAAAAAAAAATAAGTTTTAGCCATATCTGGTCCTTATGAAAATGACAGAAGTAGAGAATGTAAGTATAACTTTTATGTCCTGTTTCAATGAACATACTGTGCAGACAAGTACATGATGTAATTTATAACCATCAATGGTTCCTCAAAATCTGTAATGTGGTACATTACACTAAACTTCATCTTGGCAGGTGGCATTTAAAGCCATAGAAAATGACAGTATTCTATTACAAAATTTCAGGTAAAATATTCCAGAAAGGAATGCATGGCTTTCCAAATAACTTAATCTTTTTAAATCTGAAAATCTCTTTAGGCCCTTCACCTCTACCTTCCCCGACTGAAGAGAAAGAGACAAAGAACAGCTCTGATGTTATGCCCAGCATTCCTGATGTATTGCTGCAAAAACTGCAAGTGCACAAATCGATTCCAGGAAGGTAAAAGCTCATTAAAAGTAGAGAAACATCATCCGGGAGAAGGCACACCAGTGGTTTCCAGTCAACTTCCCTTTTGGACTTCTATTCACAGGGAGATCAATTGTTGCATCTTAGAATGTGCAACACAGACTTTCTGAAAAATTTTGGGGACTGAACCAGGTTCCAGTAACTGGACAACTCTCAAAAGTAGTTGGTGATTTCTACAAAAATGTCTTAAACCTTAATTATATACTACTAGTAGAATTTTAAACAGATTTTTCCACTCCTGGTTTCCAGGATTGCTGCTGCTGATATGAACTCATATTGAAAATACTATTCTTTCTCTCCCCCATAAAAAAAAAAAAAAAAAAAAAGAAAAAAATCAGTCCATGTGATGCTTTCCAGTGGTAGAATTTGGGTGTGTAAGAAATCTGCAATTTTTCCACATGTGACAATTTTTCAGGGAAATGGAACTTATTTTGTAAATGTATTTGAAGGATCATTCATGAAGTCACTGATTTGGGTTTTGCAAGACATTAAAACAATTCCATACTTATTTGGCAGAAACTCATTCCTCCATTCACCCACATGTTTATCTACCAAAATCACCAGAGCCTTCAGTCAGCTGAAGCAGCCAATAAGGGTTCTCTGTGCAGATGAAATAAATATTTAACATTTAACATTGTGAAGGAATTGTTATATACATTATTTTATATACATGAATGGATGAGGTGAAGAGGTTCTGAGAGATCATTGCTTGATTGTAATCAATAATGAAAAATAGCAGGAAACAAAAATCTCAAACATATATTTTGTTGTTCTTTTCAATTAAATATTAAAATAGCTTTGTTTTTAGAGGCAAAACTCATCAATATGTGAGGTTTTATTTCTAGTTCCCCACCACTCACTGAAAAAGAAGTTGAGGTAAGTATGTTATTATTTTAAACATATGTTCTAATTTTAAGTGGTTACTTAAAGTCTAAGGGTGGTTATTAGAATGAGATAGAGGGRCGATTTAAAGAAAAAAACAAAACTTCTCATTTAAAAAAAAACTATATTAAATTCCATCAAAATAACAATTTTGTGAAATATGAGAATATAAGTTGTAAAAAGAGTAGGAATAAGCAAAATATTTGTGTGTGAGCTTTGGGGCAGTTTTTAACAAGATCTTGCTGCTAGTTCATGTAATTTTTACTTTCTCAGCCAATAATTTTACTTTCAAGCAATAATTTTGTTTGCAGGGTGCTTTTTAGCTTGCAGGCTTTGTTTCTTCTATTTTTTTAATCACATACCAGTCAAGAAAAAGTTTGTTATTTACATAAATCTATTGGAACTGTTGATGCCTTGTACTTTGCAATGTATCAGTCCTAAGAAGTAATGAGTCTGGTAAAGAAAGAAACCATTTTTAAAAGCAGGGTGCAAGAAAATAAAAATGTTAGCACTTCATCTTTTTCTAGCTTCAGGGGTAGGTGTTTATCCCTTAGGTAAAACAATGCTGATGGTGAGCTCATCCCTGGACTTCCTCTGCACAGACTATCTGTTTAAAAACCTTGGGGACCCTTGGAAGAAGTCCAGCTAGAAAACAGATCCATTGTGATTCTGGTGCTTCTGGTAGGTTGCTTCTTTCATTGTGTCTCTGCTCTATAGAGCTCCCAGAAAAACATCCAGGAAAAGAGGCAGCAAAGCATGTATATGWATTTTAGTGAAGTAAATAGAAGTGATTTTTTTAAAGAAAACCAATTTTAAAAAATATTTCCAATTTTCTGTTTCAATACTTATTTAATCAGCAAATATTTCAACAAATACCTTATTCATAAGTTGTTTGTGAAAATTGTATTACTGTAAGACTGATTGAAAAATGTCTTTTTTTAAAATCCAAACAGAATGTATTTGTTCAACTCTCCTTGGCCTTTAGAAATGATAGTTACATGCTGGAATCTAGAATTCACCAGGCAGGGAGAGAGAAAAATCTTACTGAAGAGAATGCGGAGAAGGAACTGGAAAACTTTAAAGCATCCATTACGGTAAGAAAGCGGCCATTACGGAATTCTTTTCCTGAACTATAAAGTACATGAAAGTACACACACATTGCAAATATGTTTGACTCTTGTAAATTCAGCCCCAAAACTTAATTTTCTGCTGCTTCAACTCCTTGCTGTGGGCTGCCTACTACTCTGAAAGGAGGGCATATGCTGCTAGAGTGGGCCAGCATTGCTGGAAATGCATAGAGGATGCTTCCCTGGTTCTAGCATATTTCAGGAGTAAACACTAGAAATTTGCAGTTCAATTTTTTTAAAAAGCATTGAAATAAGAACATTCAGAACTGCAGTTTGAGCACTGATCCATGCCCTCCTGGGCAAGACCTTCTTTAGCAATAAATTAGAGATGTCCAGATATGAGAGATACCAAAATGATCTGAAACCTGAGTCCTAAGATCTGTGACTTGAAAGGCCTCTTAACTGAGATAAAAGAAGGCCCCAAAAGTGAAATGAAACAGCAAGGAATACTTGAGGAGCAGATAAAATCTCAGGTAAGAAAATATGCAATTAAATATTATTATCTTCACATATTTTAATCTGGAATTCCAAATCTCCTTTTACAAATTAATTATTTCTGAAAAACAATAAATGTTTTGAGTACTTTGCTGCTCTTCCCTCTGTTCCCCGTGCCAAAGAGCAAGCTGAAACAGCCTATTAGATCTCAGGCTTTTCAGACTGAAATAAGTCTGTTAGATTTGCTGTGTATTTCTGTTAAGAATCCCTAATTAGGCACCAAAGACCATGGTGCCAGCATGGGACAAATGTGATTAGGATTTTCTTCCTTTAAGCAGTTCACGCATTGCAGTCTGGCGTTTACAAGCTTTTTTATGTAATTTATAACAAAGTGGAAATTGCCTTCCCTATAAAAGCTTTTGTTCYAGACAATGGAATAAACTAACCAGCAATTAAAAGCAGTGATGGCTTCTCTGTTATATTAGACCTAGATTTGTTCCAATCTCATTGGGAGGTTTTCTTAATTTCTATAGGACAGACACATGTTTTATGGCTCAAGGACAGTTTTACCAGTCTTTCTGATTTTTTTAATCAGTCTTGTGATAATTGATGTGTTATTCAGAAAGTTAAACAGAAAGCTGATCTACATGAACGTACAATTTGTTTGAGAAAATAATCAGGTTACAGTTGACAAGAGAAAAAAGAAAATCTGAAATTCTGTGCATGAGTTTCCTTTAAAAAAAGCCCTTATGCCTTTTTTGTTCTTGCAGTCAAATTTTGGTTGCAATTTGTTATCAAGGTTGATAACAAATCAAGGTTGCAATCCTTGAGACTATAACGTCATATTTTTCAGGTAAGGAAAGTATCAAGGAACTGAAAGAATACACACGTCTTTCTTGATGTCTTGTGCCCAGCAAATTAAAATGTCCTTTGTCCTTCAGCAATCATTTTTAGGTGCTAGTTGAAATGAACTCAGCATTTGTGGAGTTCACAGGTAGTGAGGTATATTTCACTGTAAATTTCAGAAGAGAAAATATTGCAAATGTGTTTCAGCACCATGCTCCAACAGGGCAGCAGCACTCCGGGCTGTGTGGTGGCAGCGCTGGCATCTCTGGGACTAATCTCGCCATGTGGAGTTCTGCCTGGACATTTCTACCCCATTTTGGGCCTCTGGCCACTACCTTTGAGCTAAAGACATGTTGATAACGCTGCTGTATTTTCTCTTCAGTCTTCAGCTGACCTGTGGCACCACTATGAGCACAGGGAAGCCTACCAGAAGCTCCTGGAGGACATCGCCGTGCTGCGGCGTTTGGCTGTCAGGCTGTCGAGCTGCGCTGAGAAGGTTGGAGCTGTTCCCCAGGTGAAGGCATCCTGGTGTTTAACTTGTCCTGGATCCACGTGTTCACTCTTCCAGCCAGGGCTAGAAATTGCATTCACCCTCAGAGTTTTATTTGCTCTTTTGGGAGATTAACAATATCTGTTGTAGTATCAGGTAACTCAACATTTCAGTCTGGAGATAGAATTCAAACAGAAGAAGATTGCCCATTAAGCTTTTCAAAATCTGTACAATAGGAGCGTATGGATTATTGGAGCTACAGCTGCATCACAAGAAACTCATTTCAAATCAGTGCAGCACAAATAAAAGAAAACTTTTCTGGGTCAAAATGCTCATCTAGTTCAGTCACCTTTTGGGAACAGCTCAGTCAGCTCTAGACTGCATAAGAACATGGTGAGCATAAATAAGAGCACAGCAATACCCTCCCAGATTCAAGACTGTTCCCTCTGCCCTCTAAAGTCATCAGATTGATGCCAATGACTAAGGGCTTTGAGGGTTTGAAAACAAATATGCTGTACCAGATAATTAATCAGACAGGCACGTAGGCAAGGTATATGAATATATGACAAAATAAATTATGATTTTCTGTGAAATACAAATGTGAATTTGTCTTCTAACTAGCTTGGGGATTTTCAGTCATGGAGGCACCAGTATTTCCTTAATAACAACTGTTCCAGATTTAGCTATGACAAGGAGCATACACATAGAGGCAAATGATTTACTGGAGATATGTAGAGGTTACCTGGGTATTTCTTCTTTTCTTCCTTAGGAGAAGTGTATGTCAAAGGCAACAGAGATAATGATGCAGTATGTGGAAAATCTGAAAAGAACATATGAAAAGGATCATGCTGAACTGATGGAGTTCAAGAAACTTGCCAATCAGAAATCTAGCAGAAGCTATGGTGGATCTGGTAAAGAAAAAAAAAATTAAGCGTTTGTCTTGCCTCTAGTTCAGAGATATGTTTGTGCTATTAATGATTAAAGTAAAGTATCATGAAACGTGTTTATTAAGTTTTGATCTAGAAGAGTAGATTTTTAGAAGTTAAAGGAATAAGTTAAAATGTTTTATATCAGCTATACTTAATGCTATAGTACAATAATTTGAAATCACTATCACTTACAAAATTCTAATGAGACCCAGGGCCATGGCTTTTGTCTGCTCTCAGTAAAAGAGTAATGGTTTGATTTTTTGGTATTATATCAAATTTCTTCTGCAGGTGTAATTGAGAACAGAATTTTATACAAATACATACATGGTCACTACAGGTCTTGTATAAATAGAGTGTATCTGAGTTTGAAATACAGACAGGAGCCTGTTCATATTATTTATAGACACTCAAAGACTGACTGTTCTTTATCTTTCTTTCTGTGCAGAAGATGGAGTTCCTCGTTCCTCTAGATCCATGTCTATCACTGTTGGAAAGGTATTTCTACAATACAAAGAAAATTAACATTTTATGCAGTGATATTTCTTTGCCTGTACATATAATGAYTTTTTTAGGCTGTGTTCAAAACAATGTTGGTAAATTCTCAATATTGTCCATGCAATTTAGTGCATGCTTTGCAATTTCGGATACTTGATTAAGTATGGCCTTGTGCAACAGTGTCAATGCTTGATGTGAAACTACAGTGGTTTATTTCTGCAAAACTTCCAAGTGTTGGAGATCAAGTTTATTACAAAACTTGCTAAAACAGCCAGTGATTTCAGAGACATGGGTACCAGCGTGACCATTATGACATTTGGTGGTCAGAGACACTATGCTCAATCTAGAGTTCATTTTTATATTTTTATTTGTTTGGGTTATAGCTCTTTAGATTTCGTTTATTCCTGCCTGTAGTGTTTCAGAAGCACATTAAATAAAACTGTCATTAATGAATAGGTATGGTTACTTTTGTCTAGAACCAAGCTCGTGGAGTGACTCCTAAGTATTCACTAAATCTATGTTTAACTCCTTTCCTGTAAAGCTGTCCAGAGCAGAGTCTTAGAAGTGTTTGGACATGCGCCAAATAAAGGTGTTAGATGCCATGAATGTTTTGACTTTTTTCACTCAGTTGGAAGTATGAATTTTGCATAGATTTTATAGGATGAAGGATTTGGCTTCTTACCAAATGACAGCAAAAATTCGCATAATCTGTACTTGAGCTAGAATATATTGTTACAGTTAGCATGTGTTTGTCATACAAATAATTTTTATGGTCTTTGGGAAACATAAGCAGTACTGCATGATGCTGTCTAACAACTCAAGGGGGGGGGGGGGAGAAGGAGCTGTCCTTCTGTGGAAGGAATGGATGTAAATTAAAATCAGTAGGTTTACATGTAATTAATACATCATAGTATGTCAAATCATAATGGATACATAGCAAGATAAGAGTTTAATGTGTGACTTCATTATTTTCCAGTCATTGTGACATTGGCACTTTCTCCAGTGTCATTATGCATCTGCTTTAATCAAGAATAAAGGCCTATGAAAAGAGCTGACAATAAAAATGGAGAACATCTCTTGTGGGATTGACACTGCTGGGTTTTCACTATGGAGKGCAAAGAGAGCATCCGTGTACCACACCTCATCTCACACTAAGTATTTCTCTTAGCAGACAATACTAGAGGAATTTCTGTGGAAAACCTCAGCCTAAGAGTCTCTGATCTTACTTTAGCTCCCAGCACTCCTTTTCCCAAGGGAATGCTAATCTGTATCTTTGCTGCACAAATTAACTCCCAGAATTGTTCTTCAGTTTGTTTTGCTGTATATTAGAAAAATTCATTGTTGTTTCCCACAGAATATGCCTCGAAGGAGAGTCAGTGTTGCTGTTGTTCCTAAATTTAACTCCTTAAACATTCCTGGTCAGTCACCAACAGCTTCACCTATGCCTTCAATGCCACCCCTGGTAAGTAAACTCCATTTTTTAAAGACACAAGTTTTGTCTAAACCCCTTTTGCACAGGGTCAAGCTACAGTTACTCATTTTGACTCCATCCTAGTGAACGGGATAGATAGACTTCATTCCTGTTGGGCAAGGGACAAATGCCTTCACAGTCTTCATAAAGGATCCCTTTGGAAACAGCTGAATAGGGCAGGCTGCTGATTCAGAGACATTGGATGTCACTGAGGCAATTTGCCTTTTTATCTGAAGTAACAGACAGGAAAGAAGTCATGATTATGGTTGTCCACTGTAGGAGGGAAATTTTAACTAGAAACCACAGAACAGAGTTGGATTGCTGCTCTTCATTGCCAGAAGTCTACTGAACAGAAATATATGTGGTATGAATTTAGAGGTTCTCTGATGATCTGGGATTGGTGGAGCCATCAGCGTCTGTGTTGAATTTTTATTTGTAAAACTTTAATAAATTAAATGACACTAATCTGAACATAATAAATCCATACAAATGCTTTGGAGAAAAACTGTAAGACATACTGTTCAGAGATGAGCTAAGATGGGACATAACCTTTAAAGTTATGCAGTTTTCTTTTTAAAATGTAGGGCTATTTGAATGAGGATTTTGCTGAGAAGCTAAATCGATTTTACTTTTAAGAAAAGCATCTGATTGTGTAATTTATTTATTATGTACTCAGAGCCAATTGTTTCAGGAACCAGGTGTGTTTGTTTGCCATGGTTTATTTTGATTTATTTTTGTTTAAAATTTCCCATTGAAAATTCAGCTAATAAGTTAATATTCCTAGGATAATAAAAGAGGAGCAATAGAATAATTTACCTGTTCAGGGATCAATATATGAAGGAGAAAGAATTTTCTGGGAAAAAATAAGCAGGGTAGAAGAGAATATCAGAGAAAATCCTTGGTGTGCAAGTCCGCTGTTTACTGCGGATAATGGAAGCAACGTGGAAGCACCATATTTGCTCATGAGTGTAGGAAGGAAACCTAAGCAGCACAATGCCTTTGTTGTTTTATTGAACACTCATTTGAAATTAATTAATGAATTTTAATCATTATTTCATTATTTAATCATGAATGTKAACTATTTAATGAATGTAACATTTATTGCTGTGTTTTACTTACAGTCTGAATCACCCAGTAATGGAAAAAGCAACCTAACATCTACTCCTGCTCTGCCAGCACTTCTAGAAAAGTGAGTTTTGTCTAGATCATGCCTATTAAATGCTAATACTAAATGATAACTTAAAGAATCTTATTTTGAAATGCTGTGATATTACTTCTATTTGTTGGAATGCTTTAAACATGCAAATTAAAAGCGTTTGAATATGTACATCACTACAGAATATTGAATTTCATGTATTTTAGATTAGGGCTGAGGCAGGAAAAAATTTATCTGATGTCTTTGTTTTACCTTGTGCTTTACTAAGAATTTAAGTATGCAACAACTGGGAAAACAAAAACAGTGAACTGCAGCACTGGTTGCTACAATTCAAAAGAAGTGTGCAATATTTAGACCATCTTTTAAAACTGGACATAAATTCTGTGAGAAAAAAAACAACAACCAAAAAAACCTTACCAATATTTCACACCTAAGAAAACAAATCATGTTACCAAGTAACAGAGGTAGAACTTGAAATTCAAGTTTGAGCATAAGYGTGTGTGCATGGGCCAGCTGGTCTGATAATGTGGAATTACATAGTCCAACACATGGACTATTGTATGTTTGAGAACTTCAAGCTTATAGTCATGGTTTGTTTCAAGTCCAAGGGAAAATAATGTCTATGTGAGTATGATATCTTGAGAGAAAATCCATTGCCCACACATGAATAATTCACTCACATTGAATTATTCAGCCACCAATTTTAGTACCAGAAAAATAAGGTCTGCGGAAAGGGTAAGATTCCAAAACTTGAAATGGGATCCACTGTTGAGCTGATTAAACCTTAACTTTGATAGATCTGCTAAGTTATGTCTCAATCACTTAAACTCTCTGTCCCAGATCAAATAAGTGACAGGTGAGCACTGCAGGAAGAGAGYGATGTAAAATGCCTTTTCTTGAGGCTAAATTCTCAAAGATGCTTTTACTTGAGAAAAGTTCTAGTGAGAAAAGTGAGGTATGTGTTTGTATTTTTCTTAACTTGTGTATCAGTTCAGCGTGTAAAGTCAACAGAGGAGAATACTTAAAAGGCAAATAAAAACTATATTTTTTAAATTAGTATTTGATATTATTTCTATTATGTTCCTCTTGCATAAAAGGTTACAATTTCAGAAAYTATTTTTTGACAGTTGAGGGAAATGTTTTGAAGCATAGCAAATAAATGGCATAGATAAGCCAGGAAGCAAAGGCTCTTTTTTTTTAAGAAGAATAAAAATGAAAATTTTCTTACCTTAGAGACATAATGATTACCCTTCTTAAATCACAACATCCTGAAAACTAGTATTTTTCCTAGTGTTTAAAGTGTTTAATACTTTTGAAAGACATTTCTGTTCTCTGATATACATTAAAAAAGACAAATAGTGAGTCACAAAATTTCAGTATGCTCCAAATACAATACCTTTCAGTGATGTAATCTTTTATTTGTCGGCTTCTTTTGTTTTGGCAGTGGAAAGTCAAATGGAGAGCCTGACTGTGAAACCTCAACTCCTGTGCTGACACAGAGTGGATTGGAAGAGATCAATCCTGAAACTAAAGCCAAGATAGAAGAGGAAGCATACAACAAGGGGTGGGAATATTTTGTGTGAACTACATCTGAAAMTATGTGCTACCAGATTAGGAACATATGTTTTTAAATTTAATTTTAAATGCAGTAGTCATACTGTTGGTGTCACAAAGTACTTTACACAGCATGTTTGGGGGAAATTAAAACTTTGGGATCTGTTTCTGAATGTCAAGCAAAGAAATTTGTATTATGTGAAGAGTGAGAAAAAAAATTTTGATCCCATCCTGCAGAATATAACATACCACCTATCTTCAGCATTGTACAGAGGATGTTCAAAATCATTGAAAAGTAATAGAGAGGTATTTCTGGCTCCTGTACAACAGACACAAGTTGTTCTCTGCTGAGAACTACAACCTCTTTTTCTTGTTCAAGATGATAAATTTGGTATCAGCTCTAATATAATCCTCTGTTAAGGAAGGGTGGCTTTCTGTGTGCCTTAGTCATGTCTACAGCTAATTTTTAGTCTTGTTCAAGTGCTGTAACACTGCTTTTGTGTTTCATTACATGTAACAAAACATAAAGCTAACTTGTCATTAAATAAGGCTAGACTAAGAAATAAATGTTTCATGTGTTAAAGCTATCAGGAAGGCTTGAAGAAAACCAAAGAACTTCAGGAACTGAAGGAAGAAGATGAAGAGACACACAAAGAAAGTCATGATGAACACAAAGAAAGTGAAAATGAAGATGAGGTAAAAAACCTGAAAAGCAGGTGAGACAGTCGTGTAATATGTCCATACAAGAGGGGCCACCTTTTCTATTTGTGGTACCCAACCAAACGTTTTATTCTCTCATCTTGGCATGTTTTMCTCCAGTCTAGGGAAGCATATTTGAAATAACAGTGTTTTCACAGAAAGACAGATTCTGTGACAATGTAGTTGCAAAATGAAAAACATTTGATTTTGATATTTTGTCTAAAGCTCTACGTTGATATCAAGGTGCTTCATCTCAATGGGGTTTGGTTCTGATTTGAAGCAAAAAATGCTCCATAAAGATGCCAAAATGTTTCTCTCGGTGGATATGCATTGTCTCATGAAGGCTGTAATTCAGGAATCTGATGCCCACATTTGTGCTGTGTTGCTCCTGTCATTAGAGTGACATGGTTGTTGCATCTGTCCATACCCAGTGATCTGTGTACATTACAGAAGAATTGAATGCCAAAGCAAGTAACATGTCCAATCCCAAGTTAAGGCAGGGACCCTTAAATGATCCTGAAGAATTCATTCCATAACCATTATGGTTATAAACATCTGTTGAGTGGAGATTACAGCCACATTCAGAAAGCAGCCATCTCGTTAGTCATGACACTCTTAGAAAGAAAGATTATGTTTACCACATAATTATAATGTTTAATTTAGTAGATCAAGGTATTCAACAGTGCAGAATTTTACATGGTGTCAAGCTCTGAGATTTGCCAGCTGACAGATGGGAAAAATAGGAGGCAAATGTATAGTCTCCAGCTGTCTCACAAATATTACTCAGAATAGTTTGAGTTGGAATATCTGAGTGTACAGCTTTTCATTAAAAAACTTTACAGTCTGATTCTTCTTTGACAAGGTGTTTGTTGGGAAAAAAGATGGTGCGCCACCTATGACACCTTTCAAATTGAAAAGCTTCAGATAAAAAATTTGCATATGATTAATATATAACAGATTTCATTTTGCAGCAGACTTGAAGTCTGATAAATAATCATGTCTGTCCTCTTATTGTAAACGACTCGTACAAATATAGTATTGAAGCATGATAAGGTTGTGGCAGTAATCAGCAACCAGCAGGACATTTGAAAGAATGATTTGAATAATTTGAAAGAATGACTTGCACGTTGTTGCAGTTGTTTCTTGAATACTTCTTTACTAAAAGCAGCTTAACCTAATATTCTTTACAAATAATATTAATAACTTAATAAGACAACAAAGATTGAAGGTAAATAGTCCTAAATATTCAGATTTCTCTGTGCCAAAAATTATAGTTATAGGCACATAACTATAGGCTATATAGCTATAGGCACATAGTTATGTGATTGTGGAAAAGTTGGGCTGCACTGTAGAAAAATAATTAACAGTGCCTGTAATTGAATTAATTTGCTTTTATTTATATCTGCACTGTTGTGAGTCCAGCAACTTATTTTGAGTAAACATAGAAAGTTATTGATACCAACAGGACTCTCTAATTGCTTAATGTTAAGCAAGTGAAGAAGTCTTTTTGGTCAGTGGGTGAATGAGATCTCCATCCTTTCTTGAAATTCAGCATACTGGCTTTTTGTGGAATTAGTGCACAAGGGACAATTCCCATAAGTAGTTATACTGATTTGAACTGAACTACTTGCATGGCTGAGGCAAGTATAATTTAACCAAAAATGAACCAAAAGAGGCAAGAGTTTTAATGGGGGTGCAAAAATGAAGATAAAGTTTATTCAAGAAAAAAGTTGTTATTTTTATAACTACTTTGAGCAAACTGTCCATTAAAAATAACAAACCACAATGACTAACAGCACACTAAATAGCCATGCTTATATTTTTCAGTTATGTAATAAAAACACCTTTTTAAATAGGAAACTAGATTAAGCTCAGAAACTATTCTAAATATAATTTTATCTGTTGGATATTAGTTTGCTTTATCTGGAAAAAAATCCAAACAACCTCTTCTGTGTTCAAAGATCACATCAGATAACAAAGAAACTGACTATTATTTATGCTATTAACACTGAAATAGTTTTCTTGAGGTGCAATATTTATTTTTCCGCTTTAACAAGACACATTTATTGTCTCTCCTGCACAACACAAATGTTTCTAGCAAAAGGAATTTCAAAAGGGCACTATTTTTGTGTATCATATTTAAATTTTTAATATTGTAAGATTTTGCACAAGTGTGATGGTATTGTACTGTATAGTATCACATACTTGAGTTTTGAAATAAAATTATGATTTCAAAGTCCTCAGTGTTTTTACCTTAAAGATATGGAGTGCTCTGCATATTGATGGATTTGTCTTCATCCTGCCTTGTCTACACTGTTACATGTTCCGAAGATCTTGCTCTTAGTCTTCCTGTTCTTCAGGAAAACGGTACAGAAGAAGAGAGCTAACTGCTGTGTCAATGGAGAAAGTGTTTGTAAGCAGGGTCATCCCTTCCATGGCCTAGAAACCAGCTGGGAGAGGAAGCTGGAATATCCTGGAGAGAGTTTAACTCCTGCTTCAGAGGAAGGCCATGTGTCACAGAGGAGGCCGAAGGTGGGAAGCCATGAAGGAGCCCATGCAGCCAAAGGAGTTGGGGTGAAAGGTTAGGAGTCTTTATTTGCTTTGTGTCTTTCTCGACTTGGGAGGGCTGGGAAGCTCATGGGGAGCAGACTTGCCAGACCAGCGTGTAGCAGTCAATGCTCAACTTCTGAATCTTGAATGGTCTACGTCAGGGGACAAACTCTGGGACATCAACAACCTGGAAAGGAATTAATGTTTCCATGAAAACACCCTGATGTTTCTATTTTCTACGGGAACTTTTTTTTTTTTTTTTAACTTGTTTCCTCTACTGTTTTTCAGGTTTCAAGGTTCCTTTTGAAATGATTGTAGAGAACAGTTAAGTGTGTTCTGTCTTATCAAAAGTTTTCTGTTTAGCAGCCCTCATCAGCATTTTTTAACATGCTGACCATAAAAGGCTGGGAACTTTTCATATAAGTTACAGTAAGTATTTAGGTCAAAGACTAATTAATCATGCTTTTTTTTTGCCACACTGATTACGAAGAAGACACACCAAAAGGTTAAAGACCTTTTGTACTGTTATAGTCCAGATAAGTGATCTTCCACACAGTTTTGGAACAGCTGAACTACAAAAAGGAAGAAGTGAACAAAAAACAAAGTTATTTCAGTCTTGCTTCATCATTTTAAAATTCTTTTCTTGCACTCCTAATCTGTAAGGCTATGAAGAAGCTTTTTGTTTGGTGTTGCAAAGGTGTTTATCTCATTTTTACTGCTAAAAATCTTACTAAAGCTCAGGAGTTTGGCTAAAGGAACTTTACCACAGTGATGATAGTAGGTGCAAAGTGTTAAAACCTGGAAGGACATTTAGCATCCAATTTTAAAATGTCATAAACCCAGCCAGCTATTCATTAGTTTTCACAGTAGGACATAYTTAGCAGTTCAAGGTAAGCATTTTCAATGGTAAGATTTTGTTTAATGTTCTCAGTGTTTACAGTCACACTCTGTTTGTCCATGAGAACTACAGAATAATTTCAAGTTTCTGCTTCTGCATTGCAAATGCAAGTGAATGCTCTTACAACCTGCTTCTAGTGAGAGCTAAGTCTGGTTACAGATTCGGACACTGCCATTGCTTTGTGGAGGCAGGTAGGTGCAGCACAATAAGGGAGGGGACAGAAATTGGAAATAGAAATGTGTCTAAATATCACAAGGAGTTTTACCAAATTCAGTTCCAAACTACAGCCCAAATACAATGCAATTTTCATTTAATTATTGCTGACAGAGACATGATTTCACTAACTCTTAGCATTCTCCTCAGGCCCTGTAGGTGCCTGTCTGTGTTACAGAACACCATTGAATAAGCCTGTTCCATGCTGCTGGGGGATGTGTGTCTGTGCCCAGTTAAAAGTTAATTCTATCTCCTTTACTAACTGGGGACTTTCCAAATGTAAACCACAGTTGAAAGAGGTAGCTACTATTACACTTGTGTTTACAGGACTCTGAAAACAGCCTCGAGACATAGGTCATCTAAAAGCTTGCTGAATCATAAAGGGAACATAGTGTAAGAAAATTATCTTGTTGCAAAGAAAAAAAAAAAAACCAAACTGAGACCATTCCAAACTGTATAAGCAAGTAAAACAATTCATTCATTAGCCTTGGCACTGGCAGTGCATCACATGGAGCCAGAAGCAGCTGAAAAGTGGGAGCAGAGGCATAACTTTTTAAAAACATKAAATAGTTGCAAAACATAAGGAAATAAACTATCTGCTATGTCCGTTACTAGTAGGAAAAGAAATAATAGCTTTATACCAGGGTATGGCTAAATCAGTTTAGAGTAGGGAATACCTTTGAACAGTAAAGAACGGTAAGGCGCTGAACTAGAGCATTAGAGGAAATGTTAGGAATCTGTCAATGGAAACCTTTGAAAACAGACAAACATCAGGAAAAATGTAGATACAGCAGACATGACTGATGCTAAAGGAATTGACTCATCTGTTGAACTCCATTCCTACTCTGTTTCTATTGGAACTTTATTGGAACTTTTATTGGAAGCAATGGATATCCTTCCAATTCCAACTAAAAAAAATGAAAAATCTTGTGTGGCATACTGTGATACAATAGAAGATTTGTTTTATTTACCAGAGGAATAGGCAACATGAATAATGATCTGTTCCTCAGTAAAACAGGAAAAAATAGCAAAAGAAAAACTTCTTGCCAAGTGTTTACTGACTTAGCAGTCTATCAGCCTTATCTCCCTTCCTCAGCCATGCTTTCTGAATCAGCAGTAGTGAAATGAAAGCAAATGGAAAGGGTGATTAGGGATTTCCGGTCCATGACCTCGTCCTGGAGTGGGACAGTCAACACATTTGCTCTGACATTCTTTCTATGAAGCAGTGCAGTGACAGCTGAAGTTGCTTTCCAGAAGTCATCTCACCATCTGATAGCATCCAATACTTTCACTTTTCTTAGCAAAGGAGCAAAACCCCTTGAATTTCCTAATTTTCTGATTTTTTCTGAATTTTCCCAGCTGGTGGCAATGGCAACTTATCTTGGAGTTACCTCAGCAGTGTTTTTCATCTGGGTTATGGCATTCCTGGCTCAAAATCACTTTGTAACAGGTATGTAAAGTTCCACTTTTTAAAGTCTTGAAAAAAGTAGCTGGATTTACAAACAAAAATGTGGGGAAGGAGTGTGTGTCAATGTGTTTCTGCCAGGGGAAACCAGAGGGTTTTGAGAATATGGTGCAACAAAAACTAGCCTGTAGGGAAACTTTCATTGTTGGTCTAATCAAATTTCTGAAAATGCTGAAGCCTTTTTGTCTAAATGCCACAGAACTGCTTATTTTAAAGATCTGGTATCACATTTAGGATTAAGCTCAGATCTATTGAAATGTAACTTTATTTGGTATTATTTTAAATACCAGAGCAAACAGCTTTGTACAATCCTCAGAGAGTGAAACACGAGACCAGATCTCTTTCAAATTCCATTATCAACCTGACACAATCTATCCTAACTGCAGTATCTGCTGGGATATCTGCAGATATTCAATGTACATCAGAAGTCTCCAGATGCTTCATTGTAATTTTCAAGGAGTAAATATTTGTTCTACTTACATTAAAGCACACATATAGTTAATGCAGACAATTGRCTTTCTCATCTACTGAAAGACTTCTGAAGGAGACCTGGCCTGAATTAACTGGATGCTCAAATCAAGTCCTGCTGAAATTCCACAGGACTGGGTACCTAACAACAGCAGTGTCCTCCAGCAAAACCAACCACTGTACAATTTCCACAGGAGAAAAGGAGCACTTGAGTCTGTTCCTTGCAGGAATGTTTGGATGCCCCTTAGCTCCCCTCCAAAGGGGCACCCTCCCTTGGGATACTTTCTTGTGCACCCTCATAGTTCCAAGAGCTCCAGTGAAGCTCAGGGCTGGTCTCCAGCTGAGTCTTGGAGCTATTTTGTGGCATGGCCCATCCCCTCCTGTAGTTATGACTGCACTTCATACATGGGCTCTGGATTTGGGCTGTAGGTAGCCTTCTCTCCAGGACAGACCTCAGGCATGTGTAGAACCATCTCCTGCTGTTCCCAAATGGACTTACTGGATGTCTCACTCATTGTCTTGCTCTCCCTGGGGCTTCCAGTGAAACCTGCCCCTGTCACCACTGTAGTGCTGTTCAGGTGTCACTGTGGTGCTGTGGGACTGTGTCCTGGCCAGGGAGGGCACTGCCCTGCCTGTCACCCTCTGCTCCTGGCTCCTTTCCTTGTGGAACAGCCTCATTCTTGCTGCTCCCTGGCACCAGCAGCCAAAGGAAACTCTCTGTAATAAATCAGGGTGAAGGTTAGACACCAGGCAAAGAGAAAAACAACAGCTGCCCCCCAAAAAAGCAAAAAGGGAACTAACACACAACAAGGCGAATAGTCATAGCTTATAAAAATGGAGCAATTTTCTTCCTGTTCTATGGCAACTTTGTCTTTCTGTGAGGTTTTTCCGTCTAGGCCTTCCCACTTATTTCAGTAAACCAAATTTTTAACCCAAGACCAAAATACTGAAGAGAATGTGCCAGTACTAGCTTACTAAATAGAGCAAAGCTTAAAGTACAGCTATGTGCAGCTTGTGGACCAAAAAGGAGTCTGTAGTTCTAAAGCATTCGTCTGTCTCCTGTACAAACTCAGTCATCTTTAAAACAGAATTCAGAGGTGATTTAAGGAGTGATGAAAATGCTTGAAGGGGCTGCTGTTCTCTTTCTGGATTCATTCCTCACGCTGTGGAATTCCTAACTTTTTCAAAATGTATCTTTTACATCACCATTTTGTTTTAAAAGGCTGAGCAAATTTTAAGACACAACTTTGGTACATATCCTAGAGCCACTTTTCCTATAATTTTCAACTTCGTTTTCTTGTACTGAATTTCTGTATTATGCTGTGTATCTATCATGTATTACGCATGTTAAAATATTTGTCCTGTAATTGAATGACTGAAGACTGTAGCAGTTCACAAGTACCTGAGTAATTGTCTAAGATTTCATTCAATTCCTTTCAGTCAGCTGCTCAGCTTCATTTGAAATTTGTGAAGCTGGTTATTGAGAAGCTTTCTTTCTCAACATTACATTTTTAAAAGTTGTATTGTCTCATAACTGAAGATAGGCAAATAATAGAGTAAATAAAGCAGACATGAAGTCTTTGGTAACTGCACACAGACCTTCATCGAGCAACAGGGCTTCCCTGCATCCCCCTGCAATGTGTTTGGACTTGATTTACGTTCAGATCAGGGCTCGATATAGCCATGGTTTGTCTGTGGGAACTGCTCAAGTTTTCAATGGCTTTCCACCTCCTGCTGGGATAAATCCACCCAATTCCATGATCACACTGCCAAACATTTAAGTCCAATTAAACTGAACATAAGGACAGCAGAGATGCACTGTTTTCCAGAAGCCATTTCCAACCCTACCACATCCAGTGGGAGCAGGAGCTAAAAGCCTGTCTGCTTCTTTAGCACTACACACAAGCTTAGTCCCCTTTTGTCCCGTTCTCATCACAAGAACGGCTTGGCTGCAGTTCTATCTTTTCATTCATAAAAATCAGTTTAACTTGTGCTGCTAAGAAGTCATGGGGTGGATTTGCAGGCATCACTTCTTCCTGCCTTGAGAGCTGATGCTTTGCCTGTGTTCTGAAGCACAAAAGTAGTCATTAGAATACACACCTAGTGAATACAGTCTGACAAACATATTGAACAAGGCTCTAACACCTGTGGCTGGTGGCTATCTGAAATGTCTGCAATGAAATGCTGAGATGTTTAATTTAAGAGGGCATGTAACTCAAAAAGAAAGAATCCYTTTTTTCCATGAAATGCTGCCGGTAATATATGGAGGCAAAATAGTAATATTCTTTCTCCTTATTTGTGCCAAATCCTGAATTTTGTCCTATGCCCCTAACACAGAGAAAGAAGAGCAGGTGTAACCTGAGTTACRTACTTGCTGGTGCAGGTGTCACAAAGAGTATGCCAGCTGTGGCTATCTAAAAAGCTGGATGAACTGCCTGGAAAAGTGTCATAAATTCATCTGGCCTATCTCCTCTTTTCCTTCCTGCCAAGCACAGTAAACTGAACACCTGACAGTGGCTGGGGGATGGAAGAATCATGCCAAACTATGAAAAAAGGAAAAAGAATAAGGAACATCAGGAATGATAAAATCTTTTTCTTTTCTTCTTGGTATATTGATTCCATGAAAAATTATGTGAAATATCTTTGATATTATAAACCTTATCATCTTGATAAGAAGAGTGTAATGACAGAATCAGTGCCTTGGTGCAATCGCTAGCTTTAATTTACTAAAAAAAAAAAAAGAGGATGAAAGCCTGTGTATGTATTTAGTCTAAAAAGAGCCAAATCTCTTGAAATTCCAGACTATGACGTTAAAAACATAGGTTTAATTTTTAAAATGTCTTTTATGCTAGAAATCAATTTCTACTATTGTCAATCTAGAAACTTCAAAGAATGTTCAATTCGGTTGAATGTGACCTTAAATTCTTGAGGAATAAATACTTCTATTCAAATTCTAACCTTGACTGTTTTATGGTTTAATTACAGGTTCCATTCATTCATCTTGCAGGATCATGGGTATAGGAATTGATCTTCATCACAAAGTGAATTTTTCAGAAGCAAGTAATGTCTGTAACCAACTCACTCTGCAGCTGGCCAGCAAAGAGCAAGTTGAAGAGGCTCTGAAGCGTGGCTTTGAAACATGCAAGTATGTGCCATCAATGGGTGGCTCACTACCTTTAGTGAACACCTTCACACACAGCTGAAGCTGGTGGTAAATCTCATACTAAAAGCACTGATGCTTTTTATTGTAGTTTTGGATGGGTGAAAGATGGATTTGTTGTTATTCCTCGGATCACATCCAACCAGAAATGTGGTCAGGGCAAAACTGGAATAGTGCGATGGAATGCCAGCATGAATAAGAAATTTAATGTCTACTGCTTCAATTCCTCAGGTATGTATGCATGACAACTACATTTTTTGGTGTGTTTTGGCTGATAATAGTGGTAGGTTTTTTTAATCTGCATGAGGAGATCAAAACAAGTGAGTGAGTTGCTATAGTTTGCTGACCCTTTCCCCACAATCTTAAATGTTGTCAAGCTGTTCTTAGCTCAGAAGCTTCTAAGAAATATCAAAGGTGAATTCAACTAATCCAAATTAATAATTTGGTGCTGCCATGAAAGCTCTTGAGGAAGAGTTCCTTCTACCATTTTTTATTGTTGACACAATGCTCTTAATATGTTTTAATTATTTGGGCATGATAATTTAAAAGATAGTGAATCAAATCTTTAACCAGGGTGTCTGTGTGTGGAGTGTCTGTTCTTGCAAAAAGGCCAAGTAGGGTACTTCAGGAAAAATTGAACTTTTTTTTTAAAGGGAAATGTACCCATTAAACTCAATTATATGATAAGCCAAAACTKCCAAGAGAGAAAACTAACTAGATTCCCAATCTATTATCAGTAAAATCCAACAGCTTTCTTTAATTTGTATTAGTGTTTCAGTGCATGAAATTTGTGTTATTCTGCATCAAAAATGTTGGGTAGATTGGGTCATGCTAAAGAGGCAGCAAGTAATTCGAAATTACTTGCTTTGTTTTGCTTTAATTAAAAGAAAATAGCTACATATATACTGTTAGAGTACGTGAAGAAAGTTAAGCTTGCCTAATGGTTAGAAAACAATTTAATGTATATTTCACATTGGGATGATTCTGCATTCCTTTATCTTAATTTCCAAACTGTTGCCTCTTCTAGGCATTTCTTACCCAAAATACTTGYCAGAAGCTCATTCTGTCAATTTTCTTGTGCCAAAAATACCTGCCAAAACCTCTTGAAAACCATAGTGGAAAAAGTGTCAAGCCCCTGCCCTTTGACATTTTATTCTGCAAATGTGACTGCGTCATCAGCCTCCCTGTGGGGATTCAGCTGGAAAACAGTACCTACATCGTTTCCCTGTTATTTATGTTGTAACCTGGTTATTACTTTAGTGAATTTTTTATAGCTTTACAAAATATAGAACTTCACTAGCGAAGCAGAAGTTTCCCATTTTCACAGGAGCTTGATTCAGAACTCAGTTTTTCCAATTCAATATAAAAGCTCACTTGCTCTTACATTTTTATACAGACTTTTTTATACAGCATTCATTTCTATTAAATAATTTAATTTCTAGAAATTACTTATTTTTCTTCAAACCTGAAGGTTGTTACTTCCTAACCCCTCCCCCGCAATTAGAATCATATCTCTTTATTATCTCATACTGCTGCCTGGTTCATTTGAAACTTTTATTGGCTCCCTTTTTTTTACTGGAAATCAAATTAATTTTCCAAGTATCAACATAAATTTTGAACAGACACATAAAGTCACCAAATATTTTTGAATATTGAATTTGCAGTTAAGCCTTCTGCTCTGTGGGAGTTTATGCTCTTGGGTTTTATATGCAGTATCATTCTAAGTACTTTTCAGAAGGTGTAGGGAGTGTTAACAGCCTGCATGGGAGAAAAACACCACGTCCTTGGCTGTCTTGAGAAAGAGAAGATGGGAATGTAGAATTGATAATGCAGGTAGCTTACAATTACAAACATTACTAATACTGTAGCTTTTGCAAACCTACCAATCCGATGCTGATGAGTAGAAAGTGACAGCCTCACTGACCAATGTATGTGTGACACAAATGTATGCACTGGTTRCTAAAGTGGATAAAAGAGGCCTGTCCCAGAATAAAGGGGTTACTTTTTGTGTGTGTATATGTGTGTCTTTGTGTCTGTTATTTTCTGTCGGCTGTCTGGCCAACAGCGACAAGAAGGAATATAGTTTTGATACGCAATCATGAAGTGAGTGCCATGCTTGCTCAAAAGAGTGTCTAACTATGTGAGTAATGATAAAAACTTGTAATCTGGGTTGCAATGACATATTTGAAATGGGTATGCCTGGTTTGGGTAAAGCTTTTGTGAACAAACAAATAATAATTTCCAGAAGGGAAAGCCTGAGGAATCATCAATGAGTGCGCAGCAAGGACAAAACTGGCATCCAACCAAACTTTTTTGTCTTTCCCTCCTGCAGATGTCCAGATTAATTCATGTGAACCAGACCCAACTACAACCACATTTCCTTCATCAAGTGCATCACCAGACTTAACTGCATATTCAGCCTCTGATTTGACTGAGAACATCACAGCAGTGCCCACTGTGACTGTGACTGAGTCAGAAAAATTCCAGAAAAACCAATTTCGTGTCATATGCGTAACTGAAACGATCTTACCAACGGAGGGGCCTACCACACTAATGCCAGAGCAGCCCTCACCAACTGACTCTCACAAACACACTCTGGCCTTTAAGAATGATGCTGTTGTTTTTGGAGGTAAGGGCCTTATGTGGAAGTCATTTAATGAAAAGAGCTAATTATGTAGAAGTCAGTAGTCAAAACTGTTCACTGCTATTTTTGTTTCCTGCTGCACCATCCGTTTTGGTATAGCTGAACCTGGAGGCAGAATAGGAGTATTATGGTTTTGCAGAAGCAAAGCTTATAAGGCAGAGGATTTTAAAATAGTTTTGAAGTAGAACTAAGATCTGCTTTTGTACTTTTGGACAATATTTTAATATGAAATGGTGGAAGTTCATTCTGGTTAATGTGATTTGAAAAAGTCTTGGCAAACACTGTTCTCAGAGTAATGGAAAACTCACCAGGTTCTTAAAAACAAATGAAGCCAAGAAAGTTTTAAGAAGAAATATTCTCAAATATGAGGTATGAGTAAGCAATCCTAACACAGCAGTGGAGAAACAGACTAAGTATGAGGAATATCATTCTAACTGTAAGGATAGTTAATCACAAGAATGTGTTCTCTAGGCAGGTTGTTGAAAACCTACCAAAGAGCAGAAGATGATCGCAAAGAGCAGAAGATGATTAGACAAATATCCGCCAGGGATGGCCTAAATACCAGTTTTAGTCTATCTAAAGGAATGAGCAGGAGTATCATCTTTTGATGATCCTAATACCTCTATTCTTCAGTTGATCTGTATTTACTCTTACACTAGGCTGGTTCTAGAAGAACCCAGATTTAAGCTCATGAGACTTTAGAAGGTGAGCCTTAAGTACATACATAAAAGATCTGTTCTTATGTCACTTCGATCTCCAGGTATCCCCACTGCACTTCTTGTACTGGCAATCATCTTCTTCATTATTTCAGTTGTTCTAGCAGTCTGTTATATCAAAAAGTAAGTTTGTTTTGTTTTTTTTTTCTCTCATGAATTGAGTTAACTCCTAGAGTACAATCAGTAGATATTTAAAATATATTCTAAAGAAGTAATGATGATGACATAGTAGTGTTGCACAAATTTTAAAAAAATCTTCTGGTTTTATGCAGATAAGTTTGTTGCTGTTGCCACTCGCTGTATTAGAAAAGGAACAACAAAAAAATAATGCCTATTTTTAATTGGCCAACCATGCTTAGAGTGACGCATTTTCAAAGGTGTCAAAATAACAACACTGAGGTGTGCATCTGTTCATATATAAACCTGTTTATGCAGTTCTATCCTTTTTTTTCTGTCAGACTCAAGGTGAAAGTCTTTATTATTGGGCTATGATTTGGCTCAGAAAAAGTAATTGTTGAACTCATTTGTCAAACATAGAGACTTTCAATGCAGTGCATCATTAAATGCTACTAAAAAGTGTGCATTTCTCACACCCTAGCCCAGGCAGCGTTATCAGTGTGCACCACAAATCCTTAATATACATTGTCTGTTTTTAAAAAAAAACCACCAAAATATTTGTTTAGAAAGCCCACTGCTTGTAAAAGCACAATGGTCTAACATGTAATATCCTCTGTGAGACTTCTGCTTGAGTATGGTAGAGTAAGTGAATTCTAGCTGTTTGAATGATACTACCACACTATGTCAGTATTTGTGCTTTACTATCCTTTTTTCTTTTTAAAGGTACAAGAAAACCTTACCTTTTTTAAACAAGAATCAGCAAAAAGAAACAGTTGTAACTACTGCTCTCAAAGAAACAAAATCAAATGACCAAACACCTGAGCAGGAAACACAGAATAATGAAAATAAGGTAGAAGAGTGTAAAACTAAGTCTGAAGCCACAGTAAAATGTCTAGAAGCAGAAGTTTAAAGAAATAAATGCACAGTTCTTGATGGAAGTACAAAATAAAGCACACAGAACTTAGAAATGCTTATAAACATTAGTGATTGCAAATACTCATATTTTCTCTATCTTTAACATGAAACTTTGTTTTTTAATAATTACATCTTTGGCAACTAATATTATTGCAGGACAACATGGTCTCTTATTTACTTGAAATAAATTTTACAAATCCTTATTACAGCTCATTTTTCATCTTCAATAAAGAAGTAAATAGGAATATGCTATTTATGACATGCACTATGTTAACTATTGGCATGGAATTCAGATCAATACATAATGAAAAGGTTTTTATATCTGGCCGGAGGATGTCTACTAACATAATGCCTGAAATAAAATTATATTTTAGTTCTTCCTCATGTAGATTAGCTTATTCCCATTAAGTAGTTGCATGCTGTTTTTTAAGAAATCTGTTTACAAACAGAAGCGATTGTGCTGTTTGCAAGTGAGTAAAACCTCAGAGGATTAATCCACTGTCATTCAAATGCCCAAGAAAGGGTACAAAGATGCTGATGTTTATTTTATATATATATATATATATATATATATATATCAATGAATAAATTCCTTAGACACTTTCATTGTATCATGATTTAATGCTTTATTTATTAAACCACTATCATTCTTCCACATCAGATACTTGACAAAGGGGGAAAAAACAAACTTGAACTGTATCTCAACACTTATACTGAAGATCTCTTAAGTCTGAGTGTGGCTTTCATAATAAAGGTCTCAGGTGGTATGGTATGTCTGCAGTACTTTATAAAATATAAAATATGGTAAATATGTTTGAGCAATTTACTCTCATGAAAACTGTCTTACAGTAAAAACAACTCATATAAACTTCATGTTATAGAAGTAATTTGTCATTATAGAGGAACAATACTAGCAGTTTATCAAATATTTCCTGGAATCAAGGAGGGAAACTTAAGGAGGAAAGATAACTTATCTTCAACCTCTGAAGGAGGTTGTTATGCCAAAGGAAGTTTTTTTCCTTCATCAAGCAGCTTGAAAAATATAGGCCTTAATAATAATAATTTTAAAAATAGCAAGAGAACTGCTCAACTATATTGTGTTTTCAACAGTGTAGGACACTGGGTTATGAATTTGATATTTTTCATTCACATAAATTTTAAAATGCCCAGTGATTAAATATCCCACTAGATAGTGAGTTATAGTGTACTGCTAACGGTTGTTTTTCTTTTTTTTTTTTTGGGTGTTTATTTGTTTGCTTTGGGGTTTTGTTTTGTTTTGGGTTTTTTTGATAGTTCAGAAATATTTTATGGCTCCAAGTAATTCAGTATATCTCTAAAAAATGCTCATCAGCAGAAATTTAGCAGAAAAACATGCAACAGAGGACAGTACTAGACACAGCCTTCCCACTCAGTTAAGTAATTCCTCTTCTTACAAAACACTGCAGTAACACCTTGTTACTGTTCAGGATCCCTGGCATCCTGAATGGAAGTGCTCTGTGAGGAGTAGCCAGCACAAATAGGGCCATCAGGAAGAGCCACAGCCACCAGTCATGAAGGTACCAGAGTAGCGAATGGGCTTAAGGACACAGGCAAGGGTGTTTCGGTTTGGATTTTTTTTTTTTTTAATTGTGGAATATTACAATTTCTTTTCTGCCTCTCTTTTCTGTGTTTTAGAGATGAGAAAATATCTGTTTCTCTATTGCATGAAGGCCAAGAAAAAAATATCTCTTTTCTTAGTCTCCCACTAACATTACCTCTGTTCCAGAGATACCACATTCCTTTTCTGTCAGATTGTCTCATTAATCTCTAAAGAAACTGGAAAAATTGTGTTCTAGTTTCACTCTAATGGGAGGTTTGTTTTTTTTTGTTTTAGAGCTAAATAAGGCCCTTTCTCTCCCCCAAAAGCATTTACTTGCTAAAACCCCCTATCCTATCTATTTTAGTAAGATATTGCCTTAACCTGTAAGTGTCTTATTTTATTGTGCATCTTAAAAACTCAGCTTTCTTCCTGATCTTCCCACTGATACCTGACCAATGCACATGGTTTGATCTGCCCCCCCATTCCTCTTCACAATTTGTGCCAATACTACAAGGGCTAAAGGAGCTATTACACTGTTCTGGATGGAATGTAAGCTGTAAATTCTAATCAACAAATACTGTATTTTATATTGTTTATATGCAGTGAGCAGTACTCAGTCACATTGGAGCTGGAAAGTACAAAACATTCCTGCTCATTGTTTAATGGAACTGCAAAGGATGCACTGCTACAACACAAACAGGAAACATTTTATTTAAGTATCTGGACTAACAGAGTCGGGCACCAAACCCTTAACTAGAGGTAGCAGAAAATTTTGATAAATTCTTCATTATGTTTCTGACTTTTCTCAAGTGGTGTGTTTTGTTTTTTTTTTATTAAACCTTCTCAACAGCCCTGCAGCTCCTTGATGTGCCACAGCTGCTCAAGTACCTTGAATAAATGACTCATTCCAACAAGCAGGAGAGCACAGTCTGTACTTGCCACTCAGATTCCCACACTGAGGTTACAGATGTTTGCTGACCTTAGGCAAAAGGGGTACTTGGCCTGCAGGAAATACAACAAGGTTTCCAGTCCAGCCCAATCCCTGTCTGGAATATAGGGATGCCTTTGTCGTGGGAAGTACGTGTGTCTATGTGTGAACAGAAGCGGGCAGGAAGGGGAAGTACTACTCCTTTTCTCCTCTTTAAATTAAGAAAAAAATAAAAAAGTAGAATTAAATATTGCAGCATCAGGATGTGGATGACCCAGAGGATGTTCTAGGATGTCTGTTTCTCAATGGCTTGCTGTCCTTTATGAGTGTTGGGGCTTTTTTGTGAAAAGGTCAGTGAGCATTGACCTTTGCCACTCACATCTAACGCCCACATCCTCCCTGCAGGCCTGGATTTGCACCAGCAGCCGTGGCCTGGAATGATCCCACCCAGCCAGGCACTCAGACCCCATCAAGCATTATTTAAATCACTATTTAATAGAGCTCATAGGAAAGAGTGAAGGCACTGGGAACCGCAGGCAGTGCAGCCCTGAGTGTGCGTTTGCTAAGGATGCAGCAAGGTGGAAAAGYGACCCCATTTTGGTCACTCCAGCTATTACAGTGTATTTCTTTTAAAACCCATCTCTATACAGCGCTTCTGCTGCATGTCAGAACAGACAATAGTGTGTCCAGCAGGACCAGGGCAGTGATTGTCCCCCTGTACTCGGCACTGGTGAGGCCACACCTCAAGTGCTGTGTTCAGTTCTGGGCCAAATAGGAAGGACATTGAGGGGCTGGAGCAGGTCCAGAGAATGGCAATGGAGATGGGGAAGGGTCGGGAGCACAGGTCTGATGAGGAACTGCTGAGGGAACTGGGCCTGTTTAGCCTAGGGAAAAGGAGGCTCAGGGGAGACCTTATCACTCTCTACAATTGCCTGAAAGGASAACGTAGGGCGGTGAGGTCGGTCTTCTGTGCCAGAGGAGGTTCAGGTTGTACATTAGCAGGAATTTCTTCACAGAAAGGATGATCAGATATCGAAAGGGGCTGCCCAGAGAGGTGGTAGAGCCTCGGTCCCTGGAGGTGTTTAAGGAAAGAGTGGACGTGGTACTCAGTGCCATGGTCTGGTTGACACGGTGGTGTCTGGTCATAGGTTGAACTCGATGATCTCAGAGGTTATTTACAAGCTAATTAATTTTGTGATTCAACGGATGTTCTGGCGGGGCTCGCTCCGCTCAGCAGCGATCTTGCAGCCGGCACCGGACCGAAGGAAGGACGAGGGCCGTGAGCCCGGTAAGTGCCGCCCCGCGCCGCGCTCCCAGCTTCGCTCCCAGCCCCGCTCCCAGCTCCGCTCCCAGCCCCGCTCCCAGCCCCGCGTCCGTCGTGTCCCAGCAACGGCGCGAGCCGCGTGCTTGCGTCACCCCCGCGCGCCGCCGCCGAGAGCGCGCCTGCGCAGCGCGGGGGAGCGGCTGCGGTGCTGCGGTGCCCGTGGGGCGGCGGCGGCTCCTCCGCGGGATGTGCTGGGGATGCGGTGAGCGGGGCTGTAGGGACCCGCCCCCCCGCCGCCCCTCGGTGCCGAGCGCAAGGCCCGGGCCGGGGGAAGCCGGCGGTGGCGGGCAGCGCCGGACGGGGGGAGCGGGCTGAGCAGCCGGGCTGAGCGCGGCCCGTCCCGTGAGGGGCAGGGTGGGCGGGGCGCGCCCAGGCAGTGAGGGGCCGCGTTTGGTCTCGTCCACGCCGCTTGGGGCGTCTCGTGGGTCTGCGGGTGACGCGGGTCTTGAAGGGTGACCAACGAGGAACATTTCATAGAGTGACAGGATGTGCCTTGTTGGAAGGGATTCACAAGGGTTAAGGTCCAATTCCTGGCCCTGCACGGGACACCCCGAGAACCACACCTCTCGAGTTCTGTCAGGTTTGGTGCTGTGAACACTTTCCCGGGGAGCATGTTCCAGTGCCCGACCACCCTCTGGGTGAAGAACTTTCTCCTAATATCTAGTTCTGCCGACACCCTCGCAGGTGTTTTCCCCCAAACTTTTCAGTGCTGGGATTTAGGTGCTGAGCTCGGCAGGCCCGCGGGAGGCACGGTGCTCCCTCAGAAGCTCGGGAGAGCACCAGCCTGGGAAGTGAGGGAGGATGTGTCTGGAGGGCCACAGGTTGTGCTGTTGACAGGCGGTTCCTGACGTGTGTGGCCTGGGCGTGTGCTCAGCAAACACGCCCGGGAGAGAGACGGGAGGCGGCTGGAGCCTTTCCGGGAAGGAGAAAAGTTACTCAAAGGGGACGTCTGTGTGGAAATAGAAATTGGTGACAATTTCAACCATAAATTGGAAGCTTATTGTTGTGAAGTACCGCAGCAGTTCAGAATGCCCTGACAGGAGCTGAGTTGGTGTGCTGTGTCTTTCTCACACCGTGGTGCGATCTTGACCTCTGTGAATTTCGGCCTGGGTGGGTTTATGCCCCAGTGCAGCTACACGTACTTGCAGGGCAGAGTGCTGCTTCTCTGTGATGTCTCATCAGTAGTGTATAATGCAGATACTATCAGATTGCTCTGTGTTTGAGTTTAGGTGGATGTTCTGTAGTTCATTTGCCCTTGCACGCCTCTATCTTGTAGAAGTCTTAAAAGGGTGTGACAGAACTGGTTTGCTTTACAAATAATGAACTGCAAAGAGGCTTTTTGGGGAAAGTCAAATGTAGAGAGATCAAGGGAACGGTTTGGATAAAGATGTGGATAGCATGGGGACTTTCGGGGAAAAAGATTCAAGTGTGAAGGAAAAGTTGAGTAACTTGGAGATGTTTGAGCGGTCAATTGTGTAATGCATCCTAAAGTTGAGTGTTTTGTACAGCTAGGGAGGTCTCTAAATTGGTTTATACTGGCATGGATTCCTTGGTTTGCCAGTTTCAGAATGCTGTGGGAGTAGTTTTGATCTGCCAGTGTAAGTTTGATGTAAGAAAGCTGATTCCTAATGTAATGTCTGGGTGTAAATAGATACTGATGTGCTCACTGATATTCACATGCTCAGATATTTAGAATAAACAAAGATTGCCATAATCTACCATTGTCATCTTAAGATTTCTTTTTTCATTCCATTGGATGTATTTATATGTGTGTGTRTTGGAGCTGAATTTGTGTGAAAAGTTATCTCTGCTTAATATAAGTATTGCTGTAAGCAGGCTCCTTGAAGTGTTCTGCATTGTTTCTGATCTGACTGTTCAGGTTGTGCTACTTGTGGAATAATTACTATAGACTAAAAGAAAAWGAGGGAGTAGCCACTCATAAACATACAAATGTAACCCTCAAATATTTTTAGCAGAGACTCTACAAGTGAATGAGAACTCTCTACAGAACTGAGGTGAAGAACTTCGCCATGGGTCAACAGATTTCAAACCACACACAAACCGTAATTAATAAATTGCCAGAAAAAGTAGCAAAGCATGCCTCTTTGGTTCAAGAAAGTGGTTTTCTAACCTATGAAGAGTTTCTGGGAAGAGTGGCTGAACTCAATGATATGTAAGCCTTACTTTGCTTCTCTTTTTTTCAGAGATCTTGCATGCAATATATTATTCTGTTCTGGCTAAGCCAGAACTGCCCCTATGGATTTGAAATGTTTCCTTCATTTCTTGAAGGAATGGTTGTAATTATACTTCAATGATTTCAATTTCTGTAATGGTTATAATTGTACTTCAAAACTGAAGCCTTTTCCTTAAGGCCACTTTTGTCCAATACTCTTCTTCCAGCAAGTGTTGCTCTCTCTTAGAAGTTTGCAGGAGGTGATCCAGCATCATATTTTTGTTTGTGTCCCCTTAACTATTCTCCCTCCCACCTGAAGATGCAATGCTGCTTCCTCTCTGCCTGTCACTTGGGGAAGGAAGGAACAATAGGAACCTCGTAGGGACAGACAGGAGTGTGGCACCTGAGACAGAAGTGTTTGTGACTATCCTCCCACCTCTGCAGGCATGCAAGGCTTCTCCTCATTAAGGATGAGACATGTCTTACTGTCCTGAACCAGTGACCTAGATAATCCCAAACAAAAGGCTGATTTTTTTTCAGAATTTTCATAGCCTGCCTTTTATTTGACCAGTATAATGACAGTAAAAAGAAATGAGCAAAAAAGCAGTGTTGTCAATTTAGCCTGTATTTGTGGTATAAAATGATGGGAATAAAATGAAGTGGAAACTTATACACTGAATAACGGCTTTGTAGTGTTTGCTGTTCAATTAAAATGAGAATTTTATTGTATTCAGTTTGTTCATATTTGTCTTGGAGAATGTCTTAGTTTTGCGAATGCCCTTCAAGAATACATAGCTATCTTTTGGGTAGACACATAAAAAGATTTTGAAGACCATAACTTGATGTTTTGTTGAGAACCCAGGCATGTAACAGTATGATTAATACTGTTAGTCTAGTGATATCTTTATTTCCAGTGTTTGCTTAAGCCTGAATGTAATATAGCTTGTTCTGATTCTTGTGAAATAGACCGTTGAGTCTGTGTTCCATTAAAACAAAAATCTCAGGTCACCTGACACATTTACCTGACTACCTCATTATTAATATATACTAACAAAAATACACCTTATCTGCATATGTTGGTACTCACAGGCTTTTTTTTTTACGTACTTGTTGAGGAAATAACCTTTTTAGATGGGACGCAAGATTGTATGATTACTGTAATAAACAATGAGGATATTTGAATTTAAATGTCTATAAAGTACATGTGCTTGCTGATGCTGGATCAAAAGACTTGCACTACATTTTCTGAAGTTTGCTAGGCAATTTAAAGTGAAATGGATTGTGTATTTTATATTCGGTGACATGCTAAGAAGGTCATTATTCTTTACTTTGATGCCCCTGGGCAGCATTRCTAAAATCTCTTTTAAGGATAGAGAGCAGATAGGTGAACCATAAATAATCACACTTGGCTGAGGCTGTTGATATTTGCAGGTCCAGCACATGCCATTAAACTGATGTTGCTTTGTTTCAGTACTGCAAAACTGGCTTCTGGACAGGACAAACATCTGTTATTTGAAGTGCAGCCTGGGTCTGATTCTTCTGCTTTCTGGAAGGTGGTCGTTAGGATAATATGTACCAAAGTAAGTGTGAACATTGGCATTTCATGGGCAGTTTATATGCAAAGATTTGAGGGCTGTCACTTGTATTTGTAAAATCCAGTAACTGCTACATATGTTTTGATACAGATGATGTATTCAAAGATGCTGTTGGATATCATTTAAGTCTAAATTCTAAATTTTTGCAAACAGCACATTAACAAAAACATTTCTATAACTATGTTTAAAGGAATGATGCCTTCCAGTGGAGCACTTACATTTAGTTACAAATAGAGATGATCTGTGAGGTCAAGTAATCAAATGGTACCACGAACGGGGAACTATAGAGTGGGATAGTAGCAGAAGTTGGTCAGCTCTTCCAGACATTATTTGTGTGCCTGTACATAGTCTGATTCCTTAGAAAACCAATATAAAAGTTAAATGTGTTAACTGATTTCAAAGACCATCACAAAAACATACGAAATTTGCTCTGCCTAATGAGATTTTCCCCTCTGTATCCTATCAAGTAACGTTCTTTAATGATCCTCAATTCCACTGAGCTTACGATTAAATAAGCCAACCCTCAAACTTTGAAACCAACAGTTTGTAGTTTTCTGTTTACTCCTAGTTTTCATGAAAGCAGCCATCACTGTAGGCAGTTTTAAGTTCCAATATTAAATGACTGATTATCCTGTGCTTTATTCTAAGCTGAGCCCAGTTTTTTGGGCTAGGTTCCTACTCACACCTGAGTCCATTTGAGTAGTGATGGCAATTGCCTTGCCCTAAAATTGTGGTACTGCCTGAGGTGTTCCTCATGCTGCAGCAGCTGTGTGTGGGTCTTGACTCTTGCTGAGGCAGACTTGTTAACATGATGAAGGACCCTTAGGAAGGGGACTGCTGCCCTATATGAGAACTGCAGTGCTTTAGAAACATTTTGAACAATGCCAAGTTAAAATCTGATAAGTAATTGTAAATAATTCTTTTATTCTAAGATAAATAAAACAAGTGGCATCGTGGAAGCTTCCAGAATCTTGAACTTATATCAGTTCACTCAACTTTATAAAGACATCACCAGTCAAGCAGCAGGAGTTCTTGCACAGGGTGACACTTCTGAAGAAGCTGCTGAGAGTTTGATGTCTCTGTCATCGTGTCAGGCCAGCTTGTGGATGGGAAGGTATTTTGATATACTTTAGCTTCTAACCATAGTTACAACATAAGCATTTTGGGAGTTGTGTTTAAAACCTGAACTACAAATACTTGCTGATCAGAACTGCTTGTTCTTGGCAGCTGTAGGCTTTGTACCATCACAGACATGAACAGACACCTTCCCTTGCACCAAGGGAGCTGCAGTGCACTTGGGTGAAATTCTGAAATATGGGGCTACCATATCTTAGCTTCAGATCAACCTTTTTAGTAATCAGTTCAAATGTAAACATGGTATATGTTGAATCTCCTGAATAAGGAAACAGGAGGAAAGAGAATCAGCTGCAGCTACAAATCCAGGGGGTTTGACAGTGTTTGTTCAAATGGATTTTTTTATTGTTCCACTTGAACTCTTCTCTTCCTCTTACATTTTGGCATGTGAAAGTTCCCATCTGTTGCTACTAGAAGCTCATCAATTATGGTAATAATTTAACTTGTAAGACTGGAAAAATGTGAACTGTCTCACTAATGTTGACAATCTGCTTTGTTAACCAGAGGAAGAACAAAAGAGTGAGGTCAACACCTCAATAACTTCAGTTCAAACTGAATATAACAGCAAGAAGCCTGTCACCCTTTCCCTGTATGGAAGTGTTGCTGCTACCAGTAATTCCTTACTTTTCACTTCCTGAAAACGTTCAGGGTTCTAAACCAGTTTTAAGTGAGGTAGATTTAGGTTTTACAAGATAATGTTTGAGAAAGAACAGGAAAATTACTTTCTCAAGGTTATACTAGAGCACACATTTTTCTGGAAATGGCCCTTCTCTTCAAAACAAACAAACCAAACAAAATAAACCTCAGATACTTATGCAGAACAACTTTTATATATTGTTGAAGTTAGTGAGGAAGATAAAAGGTTACCTATATGAGTTTCTTCTTCAGTTTTCAGACTTGGAGACAGGGGAGATAGCATCTTTCATGATTGTAAACTTCAATACTTGAGGCAGTAATAGTCACAAATAAGGACAAAGTGTAACAACTTTGCTAATATTGTGCCCTTTGGTGAGCTTGTGTCTTAGCCAAGCTTTTCAAGTTATTAAGGAAAGTACAGGCTGAAGCACCTTCAAGTATTCTACGCTAATGAAATYTGCTATTCATTTTTCTGTGATAGCCACCCGTTTGCCTGAATTCTTCTCACCTTTACACATTTTTCAGCCCTGCAAAGTTAATAAAAAAATGGCAAGTGTTTCATTCTTATCTTAACTTTTTCCACTAGAATAATGCCCCGTTTCTTTACAACATCCAGTTTCTATTCAGAGCATTCCAAAATATGCCTAAGTGGTTTATGCTTTCTGATAATGAAGGACAAGCACTTCCTTAGTCTGTGTCTCTTTTATTTTGCTGTTCCTTCAGGAGTTTAGTCCTATGAGTAAAGCTTAATTTGCAGAAACTTTATAAATGCCTGAGTAGACACCAGCAAATCTCAAAATTTCAAGTCCTTTGAAAGGTTAGTAACCAGCCTGGGGGAGGAAAATGAAAGGGAACAGGTCTAAAGAACATAGTGAGCAGGCTTCTTGGAAACTGTTGTATGCAAATTGCCATCTGTAAAAAATTCTATCATTTTAAAGTAATTTCTCTGAAAGCAAATTGAGACGGAATCTCCAGGGACTGGCTGAAAGATAGAACAAAGGCATGTTGACTGTTGCCCAGTAGCTGGTTATTCTGTGCAGTTAAAAAATGACTCTGTGTTTGACAAGCTCCCTTAAATGTGTAAGCAAAAGTGGTCTGGTCAGTAGTGATGAAGGTGRACTGACTCCTGAAATGCTATTTTTTCTGGGATGGTCTCTCTGTCCATCCCTTCATGATTATAAAATTGGGAACTTTATGTGTCTGGCCAGTGAAAGCTGAGGATTCTCTGCACCTTTTCACACTTGAGAAGTGTTGATAGTGCAAATGTTTGGGATACTACTGTTAAGAATGTTACATACAGGTATCTGTTATTTGGGAAAAAATTATAATATGTCAATGTCTGTGTTGGTTAGTGAGATAATTTTTAAACTACCCCACCAACAGGAACACCTGGGAATTTAACTGGAAAGCTGTGGTAACAGTTTGAGAGTCCTAATTTGAAGAGCAATCATGTGGAGCATATTGCAAGCTAAAATCAGCCTTTTCAATCTAATGAGCAGTTCAGCTCCCGGCATTTTGATGCCATGTGAAATTAGTGAATGTGCATTGTGGAAGTGATCCTCTTGACATGTATGTTTTTGGGATATGAATCAGCACACAGAGATTTGGTAAAGTTTATTATGAACTGGTTCAGCCTGACATGCAGTGAAAGGAAGGCAGGTTCCTCTCCTGCCTGTTATATAAACAGTGTTTGTGGTTTTTTGCCCAGTGGTATGAAGCAGTTACCACTCCTTACACTTCTTTGTTGATATGGAAAAGGACTTACAGAACCCTTTTTGTCACCAAAAGCACGTAACACAAAAAATAAATGCGCATTCTGGCTCAGTTCCTTCCACATACTGCTGACATAGTCTGAGATGGCATAACTAGTCCATTCACAAATTACAAGCACAGGTGTTTCTTTCTGGCTATCAGTAATTGTTATGAAAAATGCAGTAACTGGTGTAGTTACTGGGGCAAAAATATCAAACATCTGGAAGAAYCTAGTGTCTTCTTTTCTGCAGGGTTAAACAGCTGACAGATGAAGAGGAATGTTGCATCTGCATGGATGGGCGTGCTGATTTAATCTTGCCGTGTGCTCACAGTTTCTGCCAGAAATGCATTGATAAATGGTAATGTAGATTAAARGATATTCATTATTTTATTACAGGTTATCTGACATGTTTCAGTTTGACAGATTCTGTGGTTGCCATATAATGTAATGTCTGAAGATACTTCCAGGCTAATGTACATATGACGCATAACAAGCTTGAGTAAAATCAGACTGCAGCAGAAGGAAAGCAGGAAATTTTGGAAAAAGAGGTGTGAAAGTGCTCTTCAGCATTTGCTTTGTAACTTCTTATGTCTTTTTATTCTTCTACAATTAAATTATTTCACTCTTGCTCAAAAACTAGAGAAGATGGTATATGCAGACGCTGGCAGGTTTTGCTTCACAAAATCTCATTTAAAGCTCATAAAGACTATGCAGATATGAAGACAAGGTGGACTGTGTGTCACTCCTTGGAAAATAACTATCAGAGGGATTTTTTTTTCTATATGTTATGCTTTCACTTCAAATAAATAGCATATAATTTGCTGATTTAAATAGATCAGACTTTTCCAGAAAGATATTTCTTCTCAATGGCAGCACCTTCAAATTTATGTATAACATGTATGTTCAGCTTCATAGTAAACTGAACACTTTTTCAGCTTCTGCATCTCTGATTCACCAGGCATTGGAAAAGTGGGAGAGAAAAATGGCTTTGTGCAGAAGCACAGCTCTTGTCTGACCACACAGGCCTACAAAGATCAGGGAAGTGTTCTCCAGTCTGGCATGAGGGGATACAGACCTGCTTTGTTAAAAGGTTTTATTTTGGCTAGTTAAAACAAATGCATTTACACATCATTTGTGCAGAAGAGTTTGTTTTGTGGCTTTTTGAAAGATTCACGAGGAGATTAGTCTTGTAACAAACATCAGGCTTCCACAAGGAAAAACCATAGTGAAAAATCACTGGATCTCAGAATAGTGAGTAATTTCTCTCTTCTGGGAAAGTATCTTAACATCTACCAGCAAGACAGGGTTTAGTTTAGTGACTGAGGTGGAGACTGGATTATGTGGTGCTTTACTGTCAAGCGTTGTTGTTTGGAACCCCTGAGATGGTGGAGGGGGAAGGGACTCTGAGGGACCAGTTCTAAACTTGAGTGGACTGCGTGACCTAGGAAAAGGGCTCCTTTTTCTCTTTATCTATGGAGACTGGTTTCTAAGGATCTCAGCTGAATTCCTGAAGATAGGAAGAAGTAATTTAGACATTAGATTTCCATTTAAACTTTCTGGAGAGATGCATCCTGTCTGATGTGAGAAAATGATTAGGAGGAATGTGATTCCAAATTTTCACTCAAAGAATGATGCTCCATTCAGAAGTCTTCCTCACAAAGAAAACGTTTTTAAACAAACAAAATAGATAGGTGGTCTAATTCAGTTAATGTGATCATTCTTGAAGCTCTCAATGAGTTGGGTTTTGTTTGGGTTTTATTTGTCCGTTTGGGGGCCCTTTTTCCTTCTTCTGGCCAGCAAGAGACCATCAATGAAAGCTGCTCATTTCTCTGCCTTCCCAACAGGAGTGACCGTCACAGAAACTGTCCTGTGTGCCGCCGGCAAGTGACCGGGGCAGGAGATTCCTGGGTGGTCTCAGATGCCCCTACAGAAGATGACATTGCCACTTACATCCTTAACATGGTGGATGAGGCGGGGCAACCCCACAGACCCTGACCCTGCCCACCAGGCTGATCGTGGCAGAAACACTTGAAGCTTTTGTTTTCCTGAGCGTCTGGTTTTACCTCTCCTTGTCGTTCTTCCACCGTCTGTCCTTTCCTTCTCCTCTTAGCCACTGTGAGTCTGCACTGCTCTTTTAAAGCACAGGATATCTGAGCAAGTCTGTGTGTGCACAGACAGTCTTCATTAATGAATTGTTCTTTAACTCCTTGATCATTAACAAAATTAATTTTAACAACAGCTTTGGTATTAAGTAACAGTTCAACTACTAGGTGAAGCAATTTATAACAGCACAACTACAACTGCAAACTGCTGTTTGAGCATCAGAGTTCTGCTACAGAGATGAACCGTGGCAGATGGCTTGACCTCACAATTCCTACCTTTGAAAGCAGTCCCTTATTCACAACAAATGTGAATAAAGATGATGAGTTAGCACTAGTGGTTATTAATTTGAAATTTTGCTGTTGAAACTTGAAGATATCCCACTGCCTGTTCTTCAGTAGGAAGTTATTGCTACTCTTAGTGTTTACAGATACTTATTTCAATCTGATCTGCTATGACTTCTAGTATTATTTATTTTAAATCTGTTTTGGAGAGTGTAGGCAGGTCTGTAAATGTCTTATGCACTTCCCCTTGTTCTTCTAACAAGACTTATCTCTTAGAGTATTTTTAATATGGTATTTAGCATAGTCTTACAGGCTTGGAAACATTAGACAGTTTTGTACACAATCCTAAAAGCAGTAAATCAGCTTCTCAGTAGATTATGATAAAGAGCAGCTAAAATTATTTCTAAACATTGGGCATATGTGAAGAGAATGCCTTTATTTGAATTAGCACTTACGGTGTTATTTAGTATGATGCTGTGGTTTTATCTGCTCCTCTTGAGTTTTTGAAGTGATGAGATCAGAGTTAAAAGGTAGTACAAGGAGTTACAAGTGATAATCTAAGTAAGGGTGCTCTACTTTACATCTACAAGTGCAATATGCTTTTATGTRGCAGAGAAACTTCTTTAACAATATTTTGCTTGCAGCGAGATGTGCATGTGACAGCTTGGGAAAAAGGATATCACAAGTGGAGTGCAGCAGTATTTTGTGGCTAGCAGAATCAAATCTTTAACGATCTGAGTTTAGACGGTCTAAACTGTTAGTATTCAAGAAACCCATCTTAAGCCTCCTGTGCATAAATAGCGTTATGGAAATGAATGGCAACTGTAGAGAATTAATTTTACATGTGTATATATAAACAAATACTACTTTTTCTCACTCAGTAATCTCAAGTTAAACTATTTGAGTGTGGCATTTGAGGGAATATCAGCATAAATCTTACTTACTGTAAGACTGCATTTTTCCTTATCATACCTGTAAAATTCCATGATGCCATAAGGAAGTCCTTTTGTCACAGACAGGTTCTGAACTAAAGGGCATGTGCACATATAGATCGGCACATTTAGGCTATTTTTCTGAATTGGCTACAAAATAATTTAATTACATCAATTTATTAAAGAATATGCACAGCATATGACATCCATTTGAGTTTGGCTTACAACACCGTTGTCAAATTTATCGTAATTTTTAAGACAGATAAGCAATGTACTCTTCATGTGTCTGTCATCTGAAAGCCAGTATTGCTTAGTGTGTAAATCTGTATTTAATTATGGAAAAATCCTGTTAGGAGTGTTTTTAGTTTAGAATGTTTTTTTTCCTTTGTTAAGCCATTAATAGCAATGAGATATTCTTCAGTACATGTATGGAGTGTTTGGTTGGATAAGGACAGTTATTGTTTGGGCTAAAAATCGTTACTGGCCCAGGATTTTCCACTAAAATGTGCAAATATTCCTAATCATGCACCAGTTTGGTTTCTTTTTGTTTTTTTGAGCTTGCATTAGTCCATGTTCAGAACTTTCAAATCACCTTTGAATTTTTTAAACTTTTTATATCACTGGAACAGAAAAAACATCTAAATGAAAGCTTCAAGCTAACTTTATTTTTCAAGTACTTCAAGAATTATACTTCTGAATTGAGGTTTTATAAGTTGACTTTCTGCTGAGAACTTAYGTGAAATTCTTAAAATGTAATTTTATAATGATGCAAACAGGTTAATTGCAGCATAATGACAAATACAATATAAACTATTGCAAAAATTATTTAAATAGTGAAAAAGTAAACTTTGTATTCTGTACAGCTTTTTTAAATTAAGTTGCTGTAATTCACACTGCTGTGATGTAGATACTGTAATGTGTGCCTTGTAAAATATATGTACTGTATGTTATAGGGAGAAATAGATACATTAACACTGAAAAACTAGTAATTTTATACTGGTTGGTATTATTTAGTCTGAAGTGAAAATTTAGCAATTTTGGAAGAGAAAAAGGAATCCATTGGTATGGACATGGCACTGTGTTTCAGAAGCTAGACCTTGAAAATGTGAATTACTGCAAATCGCTGTTGGTGGGGGGCATTAGAACAAATTAACTTCCTTGTGTTAAGTGAATATTTCTTACAGGTTTAATGTGAAATTGTAATTTAAACATTAGAGATTGTATTAATAGCTAAGAACATTCCACTATATTAAACTTTATGTAAGAATTGTGCAATAAAGTTACTTCGGAGGAAGTGTCAGAGTTCTTTTAAACTTAAGGAATCTCTTGGCTTTTGTACCACAGAAATCTGAAAACTGAGTTTTAATCCAAACACAATTACACTAGGGTTGTACAGGTGGTGGGGTTGAAAGTGCAGCATTGTGAGTCAGAGCTTTCTTGAACTTTGAAGGGTGGGATTAACAAGGTACCTTAGGGCAGCTCTGCAAAAAAGACTGGCTCTGATTTGACCACTTCTGAGCACACAAATAAATTTGAACTTTCTGCAGTGATAGGATAAATTAAACAACTAATTCGTAAAAGGACAATATTGACGAGGTTTATTCGGGGAAAGGATTTTTGTTATCAGAGAAGTGTGATACACTTTTTTCGCGAGTTACTTTATCACATTTCTGATGGCAGTTTAAAGCTTAAGGATGCTAAAGCTTGGAATATTTTTTCTTCCTCCTGTTTTGAAATTGAAATATGAATTGGAAAAAAAGAATTGAAATGTGTAATTAATGTAACTGTTTCCTCTGTCTAACAGTAACCTGCTCAGTTACTTGGCTTATCTGTTTGGATCTTTCAAAGCCAAGGGAGAAATGGGAGAGAAATTCATTAACAGATCAGGAAATTAGAGTGGATAAAATGGCCAGTTGACAGGCACAGCAGGAGGTAGGTGTACCAGAGCAAACCTTTGTATTTACTGCGTTTCAAGTTTAGGCACCATATCAATGTACTGGGCATAGTTGTTTTTGTTTTGTTTTGGTTTTTTTTGTTTGGTTGTTTTTTGTTTGGTTTTTTTTTTGTGGGAAGCAGTATATTTAACTTCCTTATCTTTCCTTTAAAGAAAGTTATATCATTGTAAAGGTTTTCTAATCCATACGCTTTACTGTTCTGGAAGCCAGAGCAACCTCTGTGATTTCTGTGCTGCAGGTTTGAACCAAGCTGCTCAATCCCACTCCTATAGAGCTGTAAGTGCCAAATGCATTATTTTTGGAAGGAACATCTTGGTTTGCTTCTTTGTGCTTTGCATCCTGCTGAATCCTGGAAGAACAGCTTGCTCAGGAAGCCCGGCAGATGTTTGATACAAGTAGCTGTCTGTTAACCTGGCTGGCCTTAATCCTTACACTGCATCTACATAATGCTTTAATTTTGTAGTCACTAACTACACACACTGTGTAATGGAAGCAATACTACAGCGTTTTCTTAGGGTTTCTGTTGTTAAATCATTCTTGAAGATAACTTTCCGAGATTTTATCCTCACCTGTTTTAAGTGGGTGAACGGAATTCTGCTTTGTGAGTGTAACTTAAGCATTAGTCATTTCAAAACTGAATTTGTTAACTATAATTTCTTCAGATGTTTGATTCCAAGGCCTAGAATTTATCATACAGCAATATTCTTTAAGGACTGAAAACTGTTCCTGCTGGGGCGTGTCAGTGGCATTAGCCTGGATGTGGCTGTGTGCTTTTCCAATGACCACAGTGCGCGATCACAAAGTAACATTTCACTGTGAGCCAGCCAATGTTACATCCATGAGGGGTGGGACAGCACATTCTGCTTTTGTCTGAGCTACAAAGATGTTCATTAGCAAAACTTTACTTACCTCACTAACCTGTCAAGATTCAAATAATAAACAGTGGGCATGGGGCTTATAGGACTAATATTAAAAGGAATTTCCAGTTTTGGGAACTTGGATAGTACTTTGCGCAGTGTGTGCCTGCTGGAATGAAGAATGCAATCTGATAGGTGACTAAATGAGCACTCTTCTTGGGTTCAAAGTGCTATTTTAGAATGCAAGATGTTTTCACAAAGTAAGCTTAAAGTAAGTGGAAACCTGCACTTTTGAAAGTTGTATGTGTAAGAAGGTAGGAATTGGATACTGTGCTTCCATGGTGATGTGGTTCTGACCCATTTTAATAGATCTTCAAAAAATAATTTTCATGTGAGACAGTGCCAGTTAGTTATGGTGAATGATGAATGAACTAGTGATGTGGTGTCTCACTATTACACAGACTGTTCTCTGTGCTGTTTGACAGTGGTGTTTAGTGCTTTGAGAGGTGTGGGGGATAAATGGACATTCTTCAGTTACAGATGAACCTGTACTCTTGTGCATCACTTGTATTGCTCATGTACAGAAATACAGAGTTTGTATGCTGAAAGAGGTGATGCTTTCATCTTCATCTGAAAATCATTACCACTTTTCTTACAGAAATACTTTGTGTTAAACTTTTCAGAAGTCGTGGTGACTGTAGCAGGGTATCTCCATTGATACTATTTATTTAAATGTCACCTGTTGACTGCTTAATTGGTTTTTGTCAGATAAAGTTGTTGTGTCTAGTTGCAGAATCACAGTACAGCTTACACTACTCTGCCCTGAGTGTCAGGACTGCTTTCTTGCTTCCATGTTTGGTAACTTGATTCTCAGCTCAATATCCAGATGAGGCTCCAGGATCAGTAAGAGCTGCTGCATGCCCTGCCCTGGTGCCCAGTTTGGATGTGCAGGGAAGCAGGGTGGGCACCAAGAGGTGGTGGGGCAGCAATACAATTTCACTTTCAGTACGTTACGCCAGGTCTGAATGGTTGGTTTTCATTAGCACTAAACTGTTTTAAGCCAGATAAGCCTTTTGTCACTTCTAAATAGTGCTTATTGTCTTCTCGGTCACCACTGGGGATTTTCAGTTTTCAAGCTATGTTTTGGTTAGGTCAGTTTAAATGCACAGGGTTTTAGTTCTGCTTAAATGTGAAGATTTGAAAGAGCTACATTTTTTTTGAGGGGTACATGCACAAAACCCACAACCATATTCTTTTACAATTCATTTATTAGTGTAATGTTTAATGCTTCCACAAGAGGCAAAAGATAAACATCATGTAACCCAGGCACAGAAAGAAAAAGCAGTTTTTACAGACACCTTTTCAGACTTGAATTTTAACTAGGTGAAGAGAAGAGATGTTTAGCCACACATAAGGAACAATGATATGAGACAATAAGGTGGCTTTAGGCTGAGAAAAAAATGTATTGTCCAGTAGCAGAGCAAATGCCTTAAGCTTGCTAAAGTAACAGAACAGAAAAGAACTGTTCAGATTGATAGGTTATAAACATCAAGTAAACATAATGAACTCATATTGAAAGTATAAAAGGCTTTTTAGCCAACAGATTTAAGGATACCTTGAATAATGTTTGGACCTTACTCCCAGTGAGGTTAAAAGAAAGTAGGATATTCTTTCATCCTGCAGCACCAATTGCAAGCTGCAGTGATGTTCTTTCCACCCCTTTCTGTTTGAGTCAGCTGTGTTCTAACCAGGTTTGACCTCAGTGCTGTCAGCGGGGATCAGCCACTGCCCTGTTCTGCACTGGTGTCTGTGTGCGCAGCACTGACTCGTGCTGGATCTACATTTTCATTCTAGCCACAGCCTGAGACCGTAAGGTTACTCTGAACAGACTCACATTAGCACAGAAGTGCAACTTTAAAAAAGAAAACAAGGCGAAGCTTAAGAACTGAACTTGGGAATCAGTAACTTTTGCCTAATTGAAGGATGTCCAGGAGAAATGTAGTAGTGGAAGCTTGAAAGTATGTCTGTTTATAGTTCCTCAAATATAATACTACAAGCCCAATTTCCCCTTAAAAGCAGCACGCAAGAAAGCACAGAAAGCAGAACTTGTGGTCATGACCACTTATGTGTTACTGTGGTTATTGTCAGAATCCCAATTACTGTCCATTCACTGAATATTCAAATCCAGTTTGGCTTTTTTTAGTAATAGCTACAGACCTACTAGAACCTGAGGTAAGGAAAGCTGAAAAGGTATTAAACATATATAAATTTGGTGTAATTTTAAGGAAACTAAATAAGAAACGTAAGTGACAACAAAAGCAGCACTAACAGCAATCTTCAGTTGAAACAACCCAAGTAAAGCAATATTTATCAGATGGAAATACAACTGAAATTTTTCATACCAAGCATGTTGCTTATTTAGCCTGGATGCAGATGTTTTTTTTCCCAAATAATGTTACATTGATAACTATTAGGAGGTTATAGTGATGAAAACAAGGTATTTTCATTTTATGCAGCTAAACAGCTTAAACCACTTTCTCAAACTTCATCCTAAGCAAATGACACCAATTCTGAGATAGCATTCTATGAACTGCTGAAGTTCCTAACAGTGAGGCTGACAGGGCTGCTGACTTGAGAACTTGGGACAATTTTATTCTCATATAGCTGGGCAGCATAATGTGATTTCACATGATTTTTAGGTGTACAAGGAATGCAAAATCTGCCACATTGCAGATATTAGGCTGGAGCACTGAAGAGCTGAAGACAAATTCCCATGTCCTGTCTGCAGCCCTGGTTTTGGATGAAAAACCTCTGTAATCACTGCYGCTCCCTCTGCATGACACTGGCTAACTGTGATGGTGAGTCGGTGGCCAGAACTCTCCCTTCTGTGCCTTGGATTCCTTTGGAACAGCCTTAATTCCAGGCTGCTTCCTAACATCTTTAGCTTTCTCTCTCTCAAGGGGTTCTTGCAAGGCCACACAGCTGGAGGAGGTGATAAGGAATTCCTTCCCTACTTTAGTGCTTTTTCCTTACAATCTCCATTCAGAACAGCAGGGACATCAAAGAGATACCTACAGGGACAGCTTTTTAAACTATCTCTTTGCCATAGCCTGAGGAGAGTGTCTTCAATGCATATATATGTGTGTGTGTGTGTGTGTGTGTGTGTGTATGTATGTATGTATATACATACATTCATGCCATTAAGGAGTTGTCTGGTACTGGTGGTATCACCTCTGCCACTTTTGGCTGCATTTGCAAGGGAAAGTGAGACCTCAGCTTTTGAAAGGCTGTAGGAGCCCAAGACCCAGGAGAAGGGCCTGGCCCAGGAAGTGCAAGTGGTACAAGACATCTGATGTAGCACAACATGCAGGGTTCAAGGTCAGGTGAAGCCTGATGGGCCAGTATCAGTTATCTGCTCTTTATGTATTAATACTGAATGCCTGTTTGAAGAAGCCTGGTGTCCCTATGCAGGATATTAGAGAGCCAGGCCTCTAACCCTGGGCTCAGATCCTGCCTGCAGGACCTCAGGGACTTCAAGCCTTTGAACTGAGTAGTGCAATGCTGGATTCACAGGCATCCACACTCTCTGCTGCCTGTGGCCTCCATTTTTTTTTTTTTTTTTTGTGTGAAACCATGTGCAGCTTCTACCGTACATATGTGCTATCATATTACCTTGAATACTTTCTGAAGTAGTAGTACTGTGTCTTAAGGATAATGAAATTGAAAAAAGATTGAAAGTCATAAATACTCCAGTAGCTGTATTTTACTAACCACTTCCTCCTAAATAAATAGTTTAACATAACATACCATGATTTGAAATGACAGATTTCAAGTGGGCTGGCTTCTGTATAAATAGACAGCTTGACTTCCCATTCAGCTGTAGTCGACTAAAATACAGACTAAAACAAATGTGTAAAAATATGTCAGAAGTAGGACCAGAACCCAGGTCTGGCATTTCTATGACTGATTCATAAGAACACTTCCCTTTTTCAAGTAAAAAATTTATCTTTACATGCAACCAGAATTATCTGCATAAATTTCTAAGTCATTTGAATGGGCATATCCACATATTCCTGTTACAAAGCAATAAAAAAGTGTTCTCAACTTTCAAGGCAAAATTTTCATTATATAATTAGTCTCATTACAATGTATAATTGTGCTTTGACACCATGTTTTGCACGTGCTAGATTAAAAAGCACTCATCTGCTGTTCTTCGCTGACATCCTACATAACAACACGAATTAATTAGTCATAGGACAAGATTACCCGATGCTGGTTTTTCTTGTTTTCCAATATAACTGCTGAAACATAAAGTTAAAAACTCTGTGAGAATACCTTCCAGAATGAASGGGTAGCCTCAAAATTCTGCATCCCGTAACAAACTGCTAATGAATAAAGGGTTAAACTTAGGAGTGTTAAAAGCCATGACTGGTGCTGAGCCTTGCAGGGCTGCAGGCTCCTCAGGTGCATAGCACAGATGCATATTCTCTCTGGTTTCCCAGGCTACACTGCAGGGCACAGTTAAGACAGTATGAAACAAATAGTACATGATTCTGAGTTTGCATTTAATATTTACAGCAATCTTAAAAAGCCTAATGTTCATAAAAACCAAAATCTTTGCGATGAGAATAATGCAGTAACAGATGAGAGCAAGCGCTGTTTACCTTCTACATACTCCTTTTGTTTCTGTGTTGTTCAGTCCTGGTGGCATCAGGCAGATGATTTGATGTTAATTAGCATCTTATCCTGCTTAGAAGGGACATGTTCTGGTTTCTCTGAGTTTGTAACTACTTTGACAGAGTAGAAATATCTTCTGTTCTCATGGCATCAGCCAGGAAGCTGAGTTCATTGCACAGAGTCTCGTACCTGAAGGCCATCCGGATCTGGGCAACGTTTGTTTTTCGAATGTCATTTCCCTCAGGCCCTTCCTTGCAATAATTCACCCCCAGGAATTTCTGTTTTTCCTGTGAATGGGATTAAACGTCAAAAGGGAGAAGTCAGTCCAACTGCTTTGATTTATTGCAGAAGTAAGTGTTTGTTAGTTGAATGAGCCCAGTACTAGTGAAAAGAGCAGTTTCAACCAGCTGGCTGTTGAACTCTTCCTCAGAATCTTAACCAGTTTAGGAGATTTTAAGGCCAAAGTTTATCCATATAATCACTCTAAAGTGCACTTAGTCTGGCTTGCTAAAACCCTCTGTGCTTGTGTTCAGCCTTCACTGCCACATCTTGAATCTGAGAGGGCAAAAAGGAGCTTAGGTCTCTTTTGTTAGTTAAATGTTGCAGAAGAGGAAAATGAGTAGTTGTCACTAGGGAATATTGGAAGAAACAACCGAATATACTCAGAAGCCCCTTCACATACCATTTCATTCAGAGGAGTGTACAAAAGTGACATAGAAATAGGATACTGTAAAATAAGTCCTAGAGAAGACCTTGGCTGTATAGAATTTTAAAGCCAAAAGGGAATTTAATCTGACTGCCTATCTAAACCAGAATATTTTCTGTAGTACTCCCTTTTAATCAAAACATGTCTTGCTTATGACAGGCAGTTTGTTTTTACTTAATGCTAAGAAATAATGTAGAAAATCACTTTCAGAGGGATATCACTCAAATAATTAAAAGTTTGGATCTGGAAGGAGAACTGAGTATAAAAAGGCATCTGATCTCTACATATTTTGTGATTTCCAAAACAAAGCTAATGGGGAAAAGTAATGTTAATACTTTGCTTGTAATATAAGACTGCATAGCCGATGGTTTGTGGCTATTTCTAGAAAAGAGGACAAGGATGTGCACAAATATATCACGCAGCACCTGCTATTCAGTGTTCAGACTATTGACTTCTGGGCGCCCTAATATTCGGTTTTCCAGCTGTACTTACCTTATCTGATAATCCGCTCTGTAGAACACTGTTTCTTGCTATTTCACACAAGTCACAGGTACTGAGTTTCCACACCTGAGCTGCAATAGCATATTCTTCCATGAGAGCTTCCTGCAGCACCAAAATACATTTAATATTACACTCTAGGTAAATAAGAGATAAATGGGGATATGCACTCATTACTAATCAAGGAATTTATACATGCTCTTTAGACAGCTGTGAAAAATTAGAAGTTTAAAACTTAAAATATCACAATTACTATGAACAGAATTGTTTATTTCAAATTTCCCAAGGACTACTGGTTAATAATTAATAGGCACTGAGTATCCAGTTAGCTTCGTCTAAGAAATTGCAGCCTACGGTCCAGATCCCTAGAGACATTTCGTAAGCTATTCCAAAGGAGACCCCAGGGTACACAAACACCCTGGAGCACCTAGTTGTAAAGCTTTAGTGAATATGCACATGGACAGGTAGCAGGGCAATTTCTCATTCTGGCCCTCCACACCAGGTGGGTGGGTCTGTCCTCAGGGGGGCTGTCCCAGCTGAGGACCTTCCACACTCCCTGTGACTGCATCCATGCTCCATCCAGCAGCAGCTCCGTGTCCCAGCCAGCAGCCAGCCCAGGGAAGGCCGGCAGAGCTCAGCTTGTCCTGGGACACGGAGCTGAGCCATGTGCAGGCCCCTCTGGGCACAGCATGGCTCAAATCAGTGCCAGCCACCACACAACGAGGTCAACAACACAGCCAGTGACCAGGCACTCCTGTCCTGCCAGGCCACCCAAAGGCAGGAATTTGTTTCACTTCACTGAGCAAGCAGCTCAGATGTCATCTTGAGATTGCACATCATGGTTTTGTAATGTACTTCCCCAGACTTATTAGAGTAAGGAAACTGGACTTTCCTGGCACTCTAGAGGATTGTTTATGAAGGCTCAAACCTCCCTTCAGCCTCATCCTTCATTTTATACTTCAACAGCCAACACTGGAGAGGCAAGAGTACAAAAGAAACATAATTAGGAAATCAGACATTTCCTTTGGAAGCCTAACAGTGAGTAGTAGACAGAGAATGAGGGGGGAAAATGAATGAAATGACTGAAAGACACGACACTATGTCCTAAGCAATGAAACACAAGCAGCTTTCAGGTCATTCTGGACCCTTGTGGTGCTGTTGCCAAATTCAAAGCCAATGCTTTTTGCAATTCTTACCTTTGTGTAATGGAACTGCATAGGATCATCTGTGGAGAGGGAGACGTGCAGTCCCTTATGGAGAAATTCCCGTAGTGGATTTTTTGAGTACTCGAGGAATAGGCTGTTGTTACTAAGTGGGGACATAGCAATGGGTATTTGTGCAAGATAATAAAGATACTGAAGGACAGGACTCTGCAAAACAAAACACAGTCAGTATTTAAAGTACTGTGGTATGATGAAAGAAAAGAAGGATTTCCCTTGGGTAAAATGGAAACAGCATTACAGAGGGAAGACTAAGATCAAAAAAATCAGGTTGACATTAAACTATAACTACTCTGGAAAATATTTAAAAGTCTGAATTTTAAATCTTACTGATCTTTATAAAGTAATTTATGTTCTTAAATACAGATGTCATCTTTTTTAAATAAGATGACTAATATTACAGTAGATTAGTAAATATATATGACTGTTACAGGAACTGCATTTGATACTAACTGCATACTCTGCCCCAAAACCTGAAAGTCACAGAAAACAGATGGGCAAAATCTGCTAAGCAATTTTTTTATTTTCAAAGCTGCAGTCCTATGGGTAAATTTTAGGAGCGAAGGAAGTTTTAATTTATGAGAAGTCACGTGTTGCTGCTGTGCATAATATAAATAATCTGTGATCACCTCATCTTTATTACTGTTTGCCTTAGGCAACCTGTGAACCTAACAAGTACCTTTATTACTGTTACTATTATTAGTATCTGCTATGCCATCTTATTACACCACGCCATGCAGGAGAGCTTTGGTCACACAATGCTTTAGTGCTACTCTGTCTGGGTTTAATTTTGGGAATTACTATTTGTGGGCATAGTATCAGACATGATTTTAGGCAATTTTTTTTCTTTGTTATTGGTTATGTTGAAAAAATACAGAGAATTTTGCAGCATTAAACAGAAAAATCTCACTTATAAGGGAACTCCTGAAAAATTATGGTAAACTCAGTACAGGTCTGCCACCCACTGACCAATTATTTTAATTATGAAACCGTGCCCTGCAGATGGGTTGAGTGATGGTTTTTATTAACTGCCAGGAATTATTTGTCCTGTCATAATAATTGAGTTCTATCTAAAATACTGTGTCAAACAGCTATGCTGAATTTCTTGATCAAAATAATCAAACCCTTAAAGAGCTTTTGAATGAACCTGAAATATAGAAATATGCACCAGAGAAAATTACCTTTGTCCCCATACAGAAAAAACTAGAGCGCTCCTCAAGTTTTTTTGGAACTAAACCAAGGATTAGTAGCAAGTCTAGGCAAGTTTAACTAATTTTAGTTCTGTTTGGAGTAACCAAAACCAGGTGTCAAGTCTTTGACCTACCTAAACAGTTGATCTTCCCTATGAAGGCAAAGCTTTATTTCCTCATAGGCATAGACAATACTTGCTCAGGAAAAGCTATCTTTTTGTAGCTTAAGAATAGGAAGTTCAGTTGAGTTTATTTATTTCATTGACTCATGAAATACTTTGGTTTGGAAGGGACCTTAAAGACCATCTGGTTCCAATCCCCAGCCATGAGCAGGGACACCTCTACTAGACCAGGCTGCTCAAAGCCCCATCCAACCTGGCCTTGAACACTGCCAGGGATGGGGCATCCACAGCTTCTCTGGGCAACTTGTTCCAGTGCCTCACCACCCTCACAGTAAAGAATTTTTTCCTAGTATCTAATCTAAACCTACCCTTTTGAACTCCCCCTTGTCCTGTCACAACCTTCCTTTGCAAAAAGTCACTCTCCAGCTCTCTTGTAAGCCACATTTAGATCCTGGAAAATTCTAAAAGGTCTCCCTGAAGCCTTCACTTTTCCAGGCTGCACAACCCCAATTCTCTCAGCCTTTCCTCACAGGAGAGGTTCTCCAGCCCTCTGAGCATCTTCATGACTCCCCCCAACAGGTCCATGTGTTCTGGTGTTGGAGTCCTCAGAGCCTCCAGCAGTATTCCAGGTGGAGTTTCTAACCAAACTGAAGAGCTACTTTGCCTTGCTAAGAACGTTAATTAATGGGGCAGCCTAAAATTAATTTTGGGCTGCCCCGATAAAAGTCGATTTGGTGACTTGTGTCTGAACCAGTGATGGATGCTGGAGCACACAGTGATTAGTTGAGGAGCAAGCAAGCAATACCTTCTTCAGAAGCAATCCGTGAGAGATGTTGTCTGCTGTCAGAAAGGCAGAAACAAGGTGTGTTATAGACCCAGCCTCTCCACAGTGAGGTCGAAACAGGAAAGTGCACATGCCTCTTTCCCTGAGGAGATTAAAAGCAAGTTCCATTTACAAAAAGGCATTGGTCTTTATCTGTTTGGTATATAATTGCCAGAAATACGTGAATTTAAAAAGAAGAAAATTAAAAGTTACCCCTTCTCATACAGTTTGATGGGATATCTAACCAGGCCTACCTGTAGTGGGCCTCTACTCAAGCCCCTTCTATCACCAGACATCTTTGTGTTTTCTTTCCTTCCCCAGTTACCTCTCATTTAGCAACTGTCTCCCCAATGCATGACTAGTTGCTGAATGGATTTCAGTTGAGGGTACTGACAGATGGAAAATTCAGTAAATCCATGCAACTTTTGTCTGCAAAACTACTGGTTCAAAATGAGGGAGGAAGTAGAAGCACATTGACAAGAGTTAGCTAATGCTACCTAATGTGATGAGAGCCTGCCATCTCACCAGGTTAAGTGTAGCATAAAACCAAACCCTCAGAAGCAGAGATAATGTAGGAGTGTTAGTTATTACACCAGACTTCATACTGTAATTCTAGAATTATGTTATCATCTACATTAAAAGTGACACTGAGTTTGAGGTTATAATAGACCCTGTTAGCCAGCACTGACAAATGCTCCATAAGAATCTGGAGATATTTAAAACAGAATTTCAACAAGGAATGCTTGAATATAAGGTGATTCTAGGGTGGAAGTTTAGTAACCTTTCTCCTAGTGAGGGGATGTAATCCATCTTCACTAATATTACCAAAAATATAAAACACTCTTGTCATGGCTGTGTTGACTCAAATATTAGGTATGTTTAACAGAGTGAACAGTTGTATTGATTCATTGGTGAATTGCATCAGTATCTCACTTAGCTGTAAAGAATAATTAATGATTATCTGGGGACATTTTAATACACTAGTTAAAATGATCTTGAGGTAAAAAAAGAATTGCATTAGTTCTGGCAGAATCTGTCCCTGGAATAGAAAAAAGCATGTACACTACAGAGAATGTACAGGAAGTCAGGAGAAAGGGATGACTTGGATATCTGCTGTAGTATGTCCTTTACATTATAGAATTAAAGGTAACAACTGCCTGTTTATTGCACATGCAAGATAATTTAAGGTGGGTGTTTTTATTAAGAGTTTTTTTCACATAGGATGATGGAGACATTAATGCTTGAAGTAGCAGTGGGAGAGAAGAAATAACATTTGGATTGCCAACTTGGATAAAATGTTAAAACGACAAATCTGTGCACCTTCTATAAGAAAATCCCCAAACGTTTTCTAAATAACAATGAACCAAATCCTTGCAGGGTAAGTGATGACACTCGTATCAATGGATCACCTCACTGTGCCTCAGCTGGAGTCAGTTGTGCAGGTCACTCAATGAGTCAGCTGCAAATTTAGCAACATAACCTCAAACTGAATTTCAGGCCTTACTGAGCCTGATGCCAAAATCTGCTCTGACAGTCTGATCTCACACAACTCCCTGTGTTACTTGCCCAGACATTGGTTTCGAAAGTAGTAGAACAGAGTGAGTCAACAAGCCTGCTGAAGGAAGGCAGCTGGATATGCTGTTTGTAATTGTGTCCTACTTTGTCTCCAAATGCAGCAGCCCTTATAAGCCCTTAAGTGTGTCACAACACAACTTTGTGTCTTAAATCACCAGGAGACAGCAGCCCACCAAGAGGCAGGTACATTGTATTTAGGAATCCACTGTAAAGCAAACAAAGGTCAGAAAGTAAGTTTTGTGGGGTTCCTTATTTTGTTTTGTTTGGTATATTCAGCTTTAAGGAATTAAAAAACACCAAAATACACACAAATATCTTGTAAAAGAGAAAAGTGTCTACTGACCTCCTAAGGTTGTTTAGCAACATGATGTTCACATACATATAATACAAATAATAGCTATATGGGGGATTCTTCTCACTGGTCCAGAGGTCAGGGTTAAGACTCTTGTCAGAGAACATATGGCCGCTGTGTTTGGATTCATCATCAACACTGTCAAAGCCAGTCACCTGGTGGGGGAAGAGATTCACAGAAATCAAGGGTTTCAAGAATCAAACTTCAGTGTCACTCACTCTTTCTTCAGGACTTGAACAACCATACTGTCCCTCTTCCTTTGTTTCCTTCCCTTTCCTTGCAGTCCTGCTGCTCTGCATCCCACCATACCATGCACATAGCAGGAATAACATGTTTTCTCAAAGTTTTACCTATTTTTTCTTCTGAGACCAACAGGAAGCCCAGGTGCACAAAAGCCTTCAGGCCCCTGCAGGGGCTTACAGAGCTGCAAGACTCCTAAGGTCTAGACTATAATCCTTTGAACTCATCTGTTTTCTTTGATGAGCAGCTGAAAGCAAGAGGCTCCCAGCAAACCTCAGAGTTCTGATTTGGGGTACACTCAGAACCCCAAATCTGTGTTAACCTTGTCCCAGTAGCCACAACCCTGCTTCTCCCCTGGGTTCTATCAGGATCTACACAATGCTTCCTTTCAGCTGCCTCCTTTTTGGAGGCCAGTCCAGAAGCGGCTCAAACTACCCATCCTGGATGATGATGATGCAAAAGAGCATGCAAACATTTTTGGTCATTAAYGAAAGGACAAATAAATAGCTGTCTAGTTGTTTCTGAGGAAATAAACAGCTTCTTTGACAACAGGACCTCAGTCAGAATTTCATTAAATTGTATGTCAGGCTTTGAAACAACAATACAAGCAATCTGTGGAGAAAGAAGATTTTTTAGTGTCTGGGAACAACTGTGGACAAAAAAAAAAGTGAGTAGTAGAGGATCCATTTCATGTGAGACAGAAAGTTCAAACATACTTACATATTTGAGGAAGAGATGCAATTCCTTGTGGTCTTTGGGATTGATTGTTGCTTCAAACAAAGGTACAAAGATGTTCTCCAACATCTTCCCAAAACTAGGCAGAATATTTTTAGACCTAAATATGTCACTGAAGGGGGAAAACAGACACATTCTTTAATAAACTTGTATTGTCCTTCACTTCCATATTTACTGTTATCTGTGTACATTCTACAGCTTCAGTTCCACCAGGATTCAGAAATTCAAAGTTTATGTTAGGGCAGATAATCTCTGTGTTGTTTCCTGCACTGCCAGGCACTGTGCTTCATCCAGGCTCTGCTGAAGCTCTTGAGTTTTCCAAAAACAGAGACAGCATGCAGGGGTAGATGCTGCCTTAGAGCAGTGACCCTTTCCCCTACAGACATCCATGTACTAAAGGGAGATAAGGAACTACCTCTCATGAAAAAATCTGTTTTCCAAAGTTATAGCTACTCCAAATGGAAGTAGAATGCTCTGCTTTAGTGAGCCTTTCAGAAAAAAGGGATCATATGTCCATGTGCCTTTAAGTGCATGACATTCAAAGTGGTGATTGTGCCATGTATGTCAGAAATTTCTCCTTTAATTTCTTCTGTAGCGAAACTTTCTACCCAATGAAAAACACACTCTGGAGGATACATGTGGCTGTGACAACTCCTTCCCTACCCATACTCCAACTGTGACATTTCAAAACATGAAGTTCAGCTACTAAGTCTGACAAAATTATCAGGGGAGACTGTATTACAATATACAGTATTGGAAAAAAGGAAATAATGTCCCAAAGGATGCTTAAAAACTAACAACTGATAAGGATTTAAGCTTGGAAATCATCAGTCTGGGTTGTTTCCAAGTTCACTCTCATTTAGTCACTAATCTTGATTATAACAGTTTTACAGAGCATTTTTTACTCCTTCATGGAATTCAAGATTTGAATTATTCTTAGTACTAAATTGTATTTTAACTTGCCTTTGAATGCAGCTTGGTTTCACCCAGTTAATTTTTTTTGTTTCAGTGTCTTCAGACTTAGAAATAATTCACAGTAGTTTTGAATATTTTCATAAAGAGCAGATTCAAACCCCATCTCCTCTCTTCCACCCCCAGACTGTCAGGAAGATTGCACCAATAGTCAAAAAAAAGTCTTCCAAGCTATTGCTCATAAATAGAACTACAGGACCGCTAATAAGCCATCTCAGTATTATCAGAAATGAAGTCATTGGTATGATTTCAAACTATTAAGATTACCAAGAGCTCCTGATTACTTACTAGATTCTGGGAACCTGAATTATCCAGCGCATGTTAGGGGAATAAACTTTATGCTTAATGAACCATTTTGCCAAGTTCAGCCATTCATCTGGAGATCGTCCATAAATGGATAAGCGGGGTTCTGTGTACTGGTACTTACTCTCTTCTAGTTCACGGGCTACTTCCTAGTAAGTAATAAATATATTTGCTTTAATATGGACACTAAGATCATTTACAGATAGAAATATATGTATTATTGCATTTTTCTCAGAGCAGACATAACTATATTGGCACCCTTTAAAGAGAAAGGGAATCTTCTGTTTAAAGCAATCCATTGTTTTATTTTAGGCATCTAAATATTCTACTAGCAAGCTATCTGCAACAGCATTTGAGTACAACTAACAGCATATATAACTGGCAATAACTCTAACACTTCCTTTTGGAGGACAATGTTCTTGTGCAGTCATTATATTAACACTTTCGTCAGAACTATTTTTAAAATTGATAAACCAGAATTAGGCTATTTAAACTACAACGAATATCTATATAAAATATACAGTACAATGGAGAATCTGACCCAGAATCTTTGCCAGTAAGCAATTTTATAGTAAGAAATTATAGACAATGCTTCTGAACTTTTTAGAGCTGACTCACAAAAACTACTCATTTTTTTGTCCTAAGAAATTAATCTGAAGCCTGTTGCATGCATGTGCATATACAGATTTATGCAGAGGCACTTCCCTAGCAAGTAGCAGTAGCCAACTAAATACTAACAAAACATTAAACCAGGGAATTTACCTCAGATGCTCTTCATTAGTTTTAAACTATCCACAACTCAGTTTTGAACTCATAGACGGCTTATGTATGTATTTCTAACTCTTAACACTATTCAGAAAGCAGCAGGGGCTGACTTAGCACAGGTTTTCCTCTGAGAAATTGCTGGAGCAAGCCCAATACTTGGAATCACTTGGCCATAGTGTTAGCTCTAAATACAATTATGACATCACAAATCTGTTCCAAACTTTCATTTCTCTACAACTGGAAAAGCTTGAAACTTATTTACCTTGACCATACGAGCAAAATATTCACCACCAATATAGTTCTCAGTCTTCAAATACAAATCCCTCAGCTCACTGGCACCGACTGGATTGTACTTGGAATTGAATTTGTCAAATCGATGAAATGTTTGACGTCCCTGGAGAAGGGAAAAACCCAAATAACTGTGGATTTAAGAATGCACAGAAGTTTCTAAATAAAACTGCCTAGCAATAAAAGGCACAGAAAAGAAAAATCCTGTGATAACTTCTTTCAAACATGCCATGTAATGCATGAAGTCAAATTCTGATTTAGTAAGTTATCATGTAAACATTGTAGAAACTAGAATTTTGCACTTGGGAAACTTAGCTTTATCCCATTTGTTTTGTCATTTTACTACTTACTGCATGGACATCTAAAGAGTCTACAGTGAGGTCATAGGGGTCCATGTGAAGGCTTTCGAAGACTTGTTTTAAAGTCATCTTCTTGCCTTTTTTCTCTGCAACAATCCTGTCAGGCTCCGTTTGATACGTGTGCTTAATAAACCTCAGTAAATGCTTCTGGTTCATGCAGGCAGCAGCATGGATATGAGTGTCAACCTGAAATCAAAAGGTAATTCATGCTTATCATCCCTCTACACAAACTTAATCAGCAAAGTATCTATGTCATTGACAACAGAGACTAAAGCCTTCTAAAATATTCCATAAGTAACAAATGGATTAGTGCCTAAGCAAATCAAAATGTTTCAGAACCCTGATTTTGGGGGACTTATTCAATAAGCAAAACTATAAGTAACCCTCCATCAGTATTTCCTATTTAAATAGGAAAATTTTCAACAAGATGCATTCTAAGTGCCAATCACTGACCCTGGGTTCAAATTAAATTTGATACTTCCTTAAAGGACACTCTAATCTGTTAGTATCCTTTTACTTCACTAATGAATCAGCCATGCTGCTCTACTTATAGACTGTGGTTATAACTATCCTCTCTGACTGAAAGGACCTGCAATTCTCAGCCATTTGCAAAAGCATAATTCATTTTTGTATTTCAACAGCAGGAAACATCTTAGGTGAGTAGAACTGAAGAATATACACACTTCTGTCACCATTTTTTCCAAGTTTAATTATAATACAGCAACTCATAATGCTAACGGGTTTTTCAGATCTCTTTTCTTAGATCTCTTCACACACTAAGGGGAGTGCAAATTCACAGAAGGGCTGAGAGTACTCCTTCAGGTTTTGCTGAAAAAAAAATACTGACAAGAAACAAACAGGTCTGTTTTGTTTTTGCTTAGAAGCTTGCACGGCTACCTGAGGAGCCACTATTGGAACAAAATCCAAAGAAACAACTCACGAGATCTGGAGGGTTGGTTGTCATTTAAGTATTCCCTGTGTAAGTTCTTAATAACACTAAAAGGAATTCTCAGATAAATTAAAAGGCTCTGATAAACCAGCTGAACCTAAGGAGCCACTGCACCTAAATGTCTGCAAAGATTTTCATCCAGGATTCTTCTGTCCAGGAAACTGCAAACATAGATAGGTACAAAGTGAGCCCAAAGCATTCCCCTTTGTGCAGTGACTCTGCAGTTTCAGATTCCACCAACAGAACTAATCAACATCCTTATCTGCTTTTAAGGATCAGCAAGAAACACATCACAGAGCGCCTGAATAAGCCACCCTCCTGCAATGTAAGCCTGGGTTTATGCCACGACGTACAGGCCGCAGGAATGCCACTACTTCGTTTGGCAATGACTGGAGTAATTTTATTTGCAGGTTACATATACACAAGTTGTTGCAGCCTTCCAAGGGTAAATCTATCTCCATGGAAATGTTCAGTAGCATAACTAAAGATCAGGATATAAAACAGAATCCCTAAACACTTCATTGTTAATCACTGCCTAAGTCAAATATACCAGAGACATTAAAGCTAAATGAAAAAGCAAGAAACATATTGCAGCCCCAAAGTATAGAACATAAAGTACATTATTAATGCACAGGAAATTACTCCTGGTATAAACAGTAAAAACACCTCCAGATAATGTATTCTCACCCTCCTCAGAGTACTTGTATAGATATTTGAGCCCAAGCACATTTTATACATATGCTTAATCAAGTTAATAAACGTCCTCTGGTTTAGACACAAATGTTGTTTACTCTAAACTCTTCCTGGAACAGTGAAATACTACTAGGCTTGGTCAACCTGTATAGGAGAGTGAAATATCAGTTAACAGATGCACCGTAGGCTCTAAATATTCATGAAAAGCAAGTCATAAGCACAGAATGCAGGTGTAGGGACCCTGAATAAGTGTAGTTCATTGAATTTCAGAATGCAGTGGTTCCAGTAGTGGTTCAGCACTGGAACAGCACTTCCTCTTTATGTAAATCAACATGAATTCACTGCCATTCAGAGGGCAAGGACAGAAAGCAAGGAGGCTTTTTGTTTCTTTTGTTTGTTTGTATGCAAGGATCACACTGCTTTCAAAAATCCTGCTTCCTGTTGAGAAATAATTCTCTGGAGTGTGTCTTTGCTGTTCAGTGAGCTTCTGTGACATCTTCTCAAGTCCTCACCAACACACCACAGACAGCCCTAGAGCTGAGCTAACCACAGTAGGTTTATTCTGAGAACAAAGATCTTCCTTTTTAATTTTTTTTTTCCTAATTCCTCCTTCAACCTGAACATACATATCTCCCAAAAGTTAAGAGACCTTTCTAGAATCTTCTTCATACTTTTTCCAGAGAATATTCACCACTTTAGCTGCCTTTTTTTTCACTAGCCAGTATAATTTGACCTTTAAGCAAGCAGCAGCTTCAGTAACAAAAAAAGTCATAAAAGACCCAAGTCTAAAGTCATAAGACAATCACATAGCTTTTTATTCTTTATTGCTTTTTGGCAGAAGTGCAACTTTTTGGAAGGTTTTAAGGATTTGAGCTTGGAGCTACCTTGGCACATAGTTAGTGTGTGTGTTCTTGTTCATTTTCACCATTCAGGGTGCAATCCTAACTAAATGAAGTATCTGAACACAGAACTCTTACATAGAGCTTGCATGGGCTAATTTGGTTAGGTTTGATTGTTATTTTATGTTATTATGAAATGTTATCRTGCAAAAAGATTGCTATTAATTTCATTGTTGTTTATTATAAAAAGCTTCTACTAGAACACTTTGAACAGCCTGAATTCATATCAGGGTACAAATACCCCCTTTGCTTCCTTCTTCCCCCCAAAAAAGACAAAGGCAGTCCCAGTTTAACATGTTAGTATTTTGTTCTTCATACAATACATGAAATAAGCTGAAGCTTTTCTGGACCATGAGTAACACACCCCTACCAAGGGTTATTTGTTTCTATTTGCAAACATTCTGCTTACATTTTTAAATTCACTACAGTGCCACTCCAGTTCACTTTGTCCTTAGTGGAAAAAATTGTAGCTGCATTCCCTTAACCAAATTTTCTCCTGCACTTCTTATTCTCCCCTCCCCCCAGAGGAAACCTTTCACTCAAGGTCATGTTAATCTTCAATGGAAAGAAAAATAGAATGACTGACAGAAGCCTGTCTTGGAACACAGTATTATGCCTAACAAATGGAAACAACTGTTTACAAAAAGGTTAAATTCTTGTAATTCCATCATTCTGGCGATGGTGAACATCAGCTTTCTCATACTTAAAGGATGGCAGAATTCCCTTCACTCAGCAATTCTCCATTCAACAAAACCTCCTTTCTCTGCAAGTTCCATGTTCAGACTCTTCCATTCCCTTCCTCACTGACGTGACCACATGCTTCTGTCTGCATCTGCAGCCTTTGGGGTGAAATCTTTACCTTCTCAGGCAAGGTGGATACATGTGTGTATAACTCACAGCTTGAAGGAGTTCCCATTGCCCTCCTGTCTAACCAGCACCAGTTTCCCTAAACCACTCTGCCTCCTCCCTTATCTTCCTGCATTCCTTCTCTTTCCTTCCACTGTCACCCAGATCTCCACAAAACATCCATCCCAGATCTATTTTATGGATGCTTATCTATATATATCAGAGAAAGTGCTGCACTGAATTAGGCATATGAGCTAGATTCAGAGCAATAAGTAATAAATACAGCAAAAAGAAATGCCAAGGCGAGCCCTTTTAATAATGCTGAACTTTCCCACGACATAGATTAGTAGCATCCACAGCCGCAAACTACCCTATTTTCTAAACACGTACACTTGAACTTGTAAATACTTCTGGCCCAATAGCTAGCTATGGGCAGCATGAACTTGACAATGAATCCTCTGCAGGCTTTACTTCAATGCTGAATTGAAGGGAAATCATTCTTCATCCCACTGCCAGATTCCCTGTGCATCAACACATTCATACTGCATTAGCTTTTCTGATAGGATGCAACAGCTTTATACAATGGGATTGATTTTCTCCTCGCAGTTCTTTAAAGGCATGAGAGGCAGAAGCACAAAATGCTCTGTCCTGTAGTGCATGAATGCTCCTGGCAGCAGAAATAGTCCCCAGAGCTATGGAGATTTCCTAGGGAGCTTGTCTAATTCATATTTATGCCATGCACAGCAACCCAGAAACCAGGAGAGATGAGAATCCCTGCACCTCCAGCTTCCTGTTTGGCTGTACTCACTGCAAAATGCAAAATCCAACCCCAGAGTATTCCCACAAATACAGAAATACACTGCTGTGAAAAGAAACAAATGTCTTTTTCTGTTATTTTAATTACTAAAAGGATAAGAGGAAAASCTTTCTTTATGGTCTCTACAGAAATTTTGCATTGTTGCGATTGATGCCTTTACACCTGATCATATTTTAGTGATCATTTTACCCACTTGCAAGACTGGGGGTAGACAAAAAATTTGCCTCAGCATCTCTTCAGGAGGGGAGAAGCAGCACTCACAGTGCTTTGAGAGCACAACAGCCAGCTTTGCTGCCAGTTAATGGCAAGGCACATTACATATCATGCTGAAGGGGCATTCCCTTTGGATCTAATGCTAACCCATAGGTATCCCATTCACTGTCATTTTGGTTTATATGATGAAACTATTTCATCACCAAAGTCAATAAATAGCTACTGGCGGAAATAAAAAAAAAAAAAAAAAAAAAAAAGAAAAAAGGAAGCTCTTGCAGTCAGGCAGACAGAGTGTGGGAGCTGGCAG